TCTACTTTTATAAAAATACTAGATGACCCGGTGAACTTCATTCCACCTAAAATTCTTTATAAGCGATCCTTATGAACCTTTCAACTCCAATTTATTGAACAATGTAAAACGACACGGAATTGTTTTTACAGTCGCTCAAATTTGTCAAACTTACCTTGCGAACTTTACTATTTAATATAATTTAAACAATTGAGAATATTACTATTTAAACCACAGACCTGTGATGCGAACTACATAATGTCTAGAGTCCCTTCAGACGGTTCTCTATTGCGCTCCCGCTCAATGGGGCGGGGTCGGTTGGGTTGGGTTGTTTGGTTTGGGTTGGTTTCGAAGCGGGCGGACTCGGGACGTTAGTTAAGGAAAAAAGATCTGCTTCCCGTCCTAAGATTGCGTCATTGGATGACGTCACTCTGTTAACGGGAGCGCAATAGGGAACCGTCTGACGGGACTCTAGACACAGCGTTTAAACTAATTTCTCGCTAAAACAATTGAATGAATGAATTTGTGGTTATGTTTTTTATTTAATTTGAAGCGCAGCTACGAACGCCATCTATTCAAATTAATCCAAAGTTGTACGAATTTTGATTTTCCGGCTGTTCCTTTCGGTTTTTCCTAATGTTTATTTTTCAAAACCACCCCTGTATTGAGGCGTACAAAAATGAATGAATGAATGAATGAATGAATTTGTGGTTATGTTTTTTCATTTAATTTGAAGCGCAGCTACGAACGCCATCTATTCAAATTAATTCAAAATTGAACGAATTTTGATTTTTTTGATTTTCCGGCTGTTCCGTTCGGTTTTTTCAAATGTATTTTTATTTAAATAGTCCCTGTATTGAGGAGAACAAAACAAACAAAAAATTATTTAAATCGGTTGAGCCATTTCCGAGTTTTTGCAGGACTAACGGACGGCGATTCATTTATATACATGTATATATATAAGATTTTTCTGCGATTCTTACATCTAATGTATAGTCAAATAAAAGGAGAATATGTTTGGCAATTTTGATGCAAATATAATTTATGAGGATCCATCTTTCAAAACGCAGTATTTAAATTATTGTCCACTAAGCATTATAGCTGAATTAAAATGGATTAGTCAATGTTTATGAAAACTATTATGATGAACTAAAAACACTTAATTGAAAGAAAAGTCAATAACACTCAGTGCCTCAATTAACTGAAGTCAAAGACCTAAAGGCAGTTTTTAAGCAACAAAGGAAAGCAATATTTTGAAGATATAGGATTGTTTTTCGATTTTAATGTAAATAGGTATATACCTAAGTGAGTAAAAGCAAAACATTTTGGACCATAACATTATGGCTCAATATTTTTGCTATCTCTATGCATTTGAAATGTCAGTAATAAAATATAACTCACCCTGATTCATCATCATATTCAACTCCATCACATTCCTCCTCCATTTTCATCTCAAACATGGCTTCATCCTCATATTTTTCATTGTGTGAGGAATTTTTATCATCTTCAGAAAAGTCACTGTAACTTCCTTCTTCCTTAATATTGCAAGAGAAATCTTCACTCTCATCTCCATCATCAGAATTGTGAGATCTAAAATCTCTTGTTTCAAGATTTCAGGTGTCAAACAACTCGCCATGGTGATAATGCAATAAATGGCAACAATGCTTACCTTTCGTCATCATTCAATTCTTCTTTAATTTCTTGTTTTATATATATTTGTTCTATTTTAATGTCTATCCCAGAGGTTGAAGGCATTTCTTGGTCAGCGTAATTCATCGAAATATCACCTTCGGAATCGTCGACTAGTTCTTTAGGTTCTTTTTTAGCCACTATTTGTTCCATTGTGTATGAAACTCTACTTCTTATATTAAATGATCACAGAATAGCTGTATTAGTTCCAAAATATTTTGGCAAGCTGTAAAAAACAATAGAGAACCTTTAGTGAGCCTCAAACGACGAATTAAACGTTTTTTACTCACCCTGAGAATGTTTTTAGAACGAACACACAACTTTTGTAGCTCCAACAAGTCGCAGCGATTTTATTGTCTGTGCTCACGCGATTCAACGCAAAACTAGTGGAAAAATAAAAACACGCAAAGAAAGTTAATGAAAACATTTAAAAATTGTGTAAAATCCTTTTGTTTTGCTAAAACAACAAAATGGCGAATCTGTCATTCCCACAAAACTAGAAGGTTTCTAGTTTTGTGGTCATTCCACAGCTGATAAGTATTGGTACCAACCAAAATTTTTAGTTTGTTTATCAAAGCACCCAGCTGACAAAAGAACCTTGCTCCAATTCCCGTACGGGAATTTTTAAACAGCACTACGGTTTTCGTATTGTTCATATTTTCGTTTACGGGAGGAGGGAAGGAAGGAAGGAAGGCAAACTAAAAATCAGGCTTAAGGAACTGTCGCGACATGTCGTAGCCTATAGTTTGTAAGAAATGGGCAGAAAACAAAAAAATTAACAGTATTTTATCAAAGATTAAAGCCTGATTTATAGATTGCCTTACTTCCTTCTTAAAAGATGAACAATACGAAAACTGTAGTGCTGTTTATAGATTTACGTAAGGTGATCTATAAACAGCACTACGGTTTTTCTATTTTTCATCTTTTACGGGAGGAAGGAAGGAATGAAGGAAAGCATTCTATAAATCAGCGTTAACACTAATATTTCATAACAAATCCAATTTTCAAACAAACTCGTCTAGGGTTAATTTTTTTATTCGGAATTTGACACATTTCATTATGTTGTTTATACCCACAATCCACACATTGTGTGGATTGTCATTATACCCATATCAATTTACTTTAATAATTTTAATATTTCATATTGGTACTCCTGTTCAATGTCTTATTTTACTTCGAAAGAATTGACCATATGCAAGGAATGCGGTCGATGTTTCCAATAGTAAAAAAATAAAATTCCCTATTGGGAACATTCAATTATATTACGTTGGCTACATTGAAAATTTGAATTTCCCGCACAAACTGACATACATTCTAGTAGTTCCCAGAGATAAAGAAGGTAGTTCCAATATTGTATAATAAATTAAGGTGCGAATTTCAAATGTGGGAATTATTATTATTTATTATTATTAAAAAAAAAGATGGAAATTAATTTAGTTTGTGCGGGAAATTCAAATTTTCAATGTAGCCAACGTAATATAATTGAATGTTCCCAATAGGGCCATATGCAAGGAATGCGGTCGATGTTGCCAATGGTAAAAAAATAAAATTCCCTATTGGGAACATTCAATTATATTACGTTGGCCACACTGAAATTTTGAATTTCCCGCACAAACTGACATACATTCTAGTAGTTCCCAGAGATAAAGAAGGTGGTTCCAAAGTTTTATAATAAATTAAGGTGCGAATTTCAAATGTGGGAATTATTATTATTTATCTATTTTGGTTTCATAATGACTTCATTATAACACCGCTTTTGGTTCTTTAATGAGGTACTTTATTCCACCCAAAATTTTGATTTTATAGGTTGGCTACTGGTAAAATACCATTTTGAATACCTATAGGTTATAATATTTTTATGATTTGTTTTCTAGTACTTACGAGACTTTTCGTGTAATAAATTTTGTTTAACACCAAAGAAAATCCTTTTTTCTTTTTTAACAGCCGCTTATTGTAAATACTTATTGTAAATTAACGACGCCATAGCGAAAGAATGTGATAATGTTTGAAAGGTTAATGACCTTTCAAACTTCAAACTTTGTTATCTATGATACCAACTATGTAAAGTAAAATTTAACCAAATTAAATATAAGGTATAAAATTAATTTGTTTTATGAAATGTTTGCAAAATAGATAAAATAGCATAAAGAACTCATGTCATAAGACCTTTTGTCGCACTTGTCCATTATAAAACTCGCTCCTTCGTCGCTCGTTTTATAAATTGTCCGCGTGCGACAAAATGACGTCTTATGACATTAGTTCTTTAATATACTATTATTATTATTAAAAAAAAAGATGGAAATTAATTTAGTTTGTGCGGGAAATTCAAATTTTCAATGTAGCCAACGTAATATAATTGAATGTTTCCAATAGGGAATTTTATTTTTTTACCATTGGCAACATCGACCGCATTCCTTGCATATGGTCAATTATAATAATCAATGCCATTGGCTGGTGGATTTTATGTATACCAATATCTCAGTTATTAGACATGGGACCCACACCAAATTTATAAATTAATGACATTAAATAAACAAGTTCGGCGGAAACAGAATTTAAATTGAAGTTTGCGAAAAAAGTTAGTTTTTCCTGTTGCCTCCAGGTCTCCCTATTTGAGATAATTCAAATTAAAGTGGTGCAATTTATTATCTACTATAATTTATCGACAAATTTAAAATTTTATTTAAGAAATCCAAATATTACAGGTTTTATTCAATTTTAAATTTTTATTATTTATTTTATTAAAATAAAAAAATATTTAAAATGGCATAAAACCTGTAACCTAGGTTTTTTTTATTAGTTTGGATACAATGACAATTATCGCGTTTGTTTTTGTTTTCACAAAGTTGGTATCAAAGAACCACTGTGAACCATTAACCTTTGTTCGGTTATCTATGTTGGTATCTATGTATCTATGTAGTCACAGAACACAAGTGTGTAACCAGTGACGTATCACAAAAAATATAAAAACCCAATTTTCTTTATCTTTGGGAAAATATTTATTTAACACCCAGTATACTACAATACAGTTCAATTTAAATAGGAATACTTAATAAGTTAATTAAATTTAATACTAAGAAACTTTAGTTGATATACTGGCTAAAATTTTATTATAAAATTTTTGAATGATTTGGTAATGTTTCATGGTTTCAGTGCGAAATTTTTAATAATTTCAATAATTTTGAATGATTTGTTTGAAATTCCAGAATAGTAATTAATACTAGAAGATTTAAAAAATAGGAACAACACAGCTAAATAATGAAATTTATACTTACCTTCTTGTTTCATTTATTTCTTGAGGGTCAAGATGAAAATAAATAAAACAGTAAAAATTAAATTATTTGAATTTATTTTTTTTTGCCTTGAACTAATAATACAACTAAGTCATCATATTTATACAATAAAAAGGAAAATTTGAATAATTATATATTGTAAAATCAAAAAATTAAAAAATACCAAGCATTGTTAACATTATCACAAGCTCTATAGTTATTGCAATCAATTTTTGCACGAAAATTTAAAAATACAATAAAGAGTGGAAACAACCCAAAAAAATTAAATTAAATAAACATCCCAAAATATCCTTGTAAGAGAGTTATTATATAGTAAATTAATTAAAATATTGAAAAGACAAAAACATGTCTTTTGACCGAGATTCTTGCATACAATAGACTAGAATAAAATATTAGACAAAATATAAAGAAAATAAAAATAATATACAAAGGTGGGTGGGTCGCGATAGTTTTCCATCCCCTGACCGACCAAAATATACAGTAAACAAGAAAATTACCCCGGAATGATGTAAAATGTAATAATAAAAAGAGTATCAATTAAATAAATTAAAATTACCGGGCGACGTAATATTGAATTTAGGCTGACAATTGTTTATCACAGTTGGTAAAATAACAGAATTCCTTTCGATCGAAAATATATATTTATTTCAGCGTATTAAAATTCAGGGTTGATGCATCCTATTCAGTTTTTTAATCGATTAATTAATTAGTCAATAAACGCGTGGCGAATTTGTTAGAGGGCGTTCCGATGCTGCACCCAGGTTTTCTTGGTGTGGTCGAACCGATGGGCCAGCCATTGCTGCTCCAGCAGCTGGTATCTGTCTTGACTGAGGTAAAGTGGTTTTCCACGCCTTCAACGAATTCAGTTTATTAAATCTATGCACAGTTCATTTTTTTTTTTTAGTTTTATTTGTTTTAGTTTTATCGTAACATAAAATCTACTCGAAGTTGTCGAACTTTTTATATTTTTTTATTTCATAAATTTGTTGTTCCTTTATTTAAAAGTGTTAGGTTGGGTTGGTTGGTTGGTTGGTTTATTTTAGTTTTATCGCGTATAATTAAAGTTATAACTAGTTTAGTTTGTTTTAATCAATGCAACCAATTTTGGTTCCGTATTTACCAACGAAACCCCTAAATTTGCGACGCTGCTGCAGTCCAGATAAAAAAATGAACTTTATTATGTGGGTGAGAATTCGTAAAACGGATAATTTGTTTTTGTTGTAAAATATTTTTTTTTCCTTTTTGTAACCCCATAGTTCTAATATCTACCAAAAAAATATAATTGTATATAATGTTATAGGGATATTGGGTTGGTTATTTTGAGTATACAAAACATTTGGTGACAAATTATAAGGGTTTAAAAATTCAATTTTATTTTCTTTATTTTAATTTCGTAAGAATATTTATTTATTTAAAAGGATTCAAAACAATTTCCTACTAACGTGTTAAAAATAAAAAGTTAAAATTCGTTAATGTAATTTTTTTTAATAATTATTGCAATATTTTTTTGATACAAGTTTTCAACAATTTTTATTTAGGGTGAAATTTCATCAAATTTTTTTTTAATCTGTTTAAATCGCTCTTTTGTAAATAACTTTTGTAGTTTAACACTTTTTTAAAATATTTTAGTATCATTAAGTTCTGCAATAACCAATAATTGTTTTCTGTATTAAATGAGGTCAGGAAATAAGTGATCAGTTTCACGAATTCTCACCCCAATGTGATAGCATGGAAAATGCTTGTAATTTGAAAATGCACTTTCCATTTTTTGTGTGTAATTGGCAAAAAATAGTTACTTTTAAAGTGAGTACATTTTGGTTAAACTACAGTTCTATAGAAATAACAATACTGGAAAATACATGAAAATCTATTAAGATGATATAAATTATATATAAGTTATGATCATATTATAGTATACCATGAAAAATAATTATAAAAGCATACTGAGGTCACAAAATTATAATAAAATTACTTTTTCAATGTATTGAAAGAAAATACAATATATTAAAAATAAATCTAATACATTGGGGAAGAAATCTAATATATTGGGAAAAAAATTCAACATATAGGAAATAAAATCAATATATGTATAAAAAATCCATTATATTTGAAATAAATCCAAGATATTGGAAGTAAATTCAATATATTGGAAATATATTCAATATATTGTAGAAAAAATGCAATATATTGAAAAAAATAGATTGGATTTTTTCCAATTTATTTTTTTTATTTTCAATATATTGGATTTTTTTAATATATTGATTTTATTTCCTATATATTGGATTTTGTTTCATATTATTTTCAATAAATTTGATTTTTTTCCCAACATATTGGATTTTTTTCCAATACATTGATTTTTTTTAACATATTAAGTTTATTTTCAATATATTAAAAAATATAATTTTACTATAATTTTGTGATCCCAGTACGCTTTCGTGGAAATATTCTCATAAAATAGTTTTTTTCAGGTATAAAACTGATTAAAACTGAAATATACATTAAAAAAATATTACCAAAAAGACTTTCATGATACCTAAATGGTAACAATAACAATAATAAAAAAAAATGTAATTGGTCTTACTTCAAGTCCCTGTCCTCCTCCTCGAAATCGTCCAGGTATAGGGAGCCCCAGAGGCATGCGCGGTTGCCGCGTATCACGATGATGTAGGTGGAGGTGACGACGAGGAAGACGCCGGTGCCGGCGCCGCACTCGCGCGCGTGCGCCACCGCCTCGAAAACGTCCCGCTGCTTGCAGCAGTTCTGCTTCAGGCACACTATCGTGCCGCACAGCAGGCACACGCTGGTCTCCTGCGCCACGCTGTGGCACTGCGTGCACGCCCTCTCGTGGTAATACTACGAAACAACGAAAATACACTCCATCAATCCTTTTTTGTTTGAAGGACAAAAAACGTCATTTGTTCATGCCTCTAGACTTTTGGAAAAGTACACAGAAACGTTTTGTCCTCCCGATGCCATACGACATTACCGTATTTTCATTTATCGGTTTTTAAGAGTGGCAGAATAATTTTAATACTGGGAGATGCCGAGGCTCTCGACCGAGAGACGGTTTTTGTTAAAAATAAGAAAAAATTAAATAATTCTTTTTAACAAAAATATAAATAAATAAAACTTCTTTTGTACAAATAGGTTACATTGACTAGTTTTTTAGCCAGATCGCTCTACGAGTTTTTTTTAATATAAGGTACATATATACACAAGTAGAAATTTCACCACACTTTTAATTTTATTTAAAAAAAAACGCGTCGATAGATATGGCTAAAAAAACTAGGCCAAAGTCAAATGATGTTATATTTATATTTTGAGAAAAAAATGTTAACCATTTAGTTAATAACTAACAATAATTGTCACATTACATTACATCTTTTACTCAGAAATCTCATAAAAATATAAAATTTGCATAATACCGCAAAACATTCTTTAGGTAGTTTACTATTTTAGCTATAATTTAAAAGAAAATTAAAAATTCTTTTGTTTGATATATAACCCGGTATATTTTTGTCGAAAACAAACGAAATATGGCTAAAAATGACAATTTTGAAGAAGTCTAGGAACTACTACATGGATTTTTTTTAGGTATATTTTGTTGTTTTTAAGAAAAATGTTGGTTGTGATATATCATTTTAAAAAGAATTTAATAAACTAGAACCTAAGAATATATACTTTTTAAATTACTTAAAAAAAGAACTTTTTTAGCACGACAACTACCTTAATTAAACTCCGGCAAGTTGGCCTATTTATATTAAATTTTTAGGAGTTTTAGGAGATCGATGGCAATTTTAGGAGTTTTCAAGATTTAAGCCAAATTTTAGGAATTTTAGGAGGTGTGGGAGTCCTCTGATAGTCAAAGCTGGCTCTGAATTATTAATACGAATTACGCATTATTAAGTTAATTTACTTTTATAAATGATTCTGATATTTAAAATGTAACACTTTTAACAGTAAATTATTAATTAAAGGTGTACATACAATCATTATTTGTTTTGCATTTAACTAAAAGTGTTTTCTTATAAAAAAAGATTAAGCATAAAAAACTCTCTTTAAAAACTAAAATAAAAAATAAAATAATTGTCTTAAAAACAAATTAAAATAAATAAATCAATTCTTTTAAACAAAAAATCCAACTTTTTTAAATAAATGTAAATAAATTAATTAAAAACGTTTGATATTGTTCTGATAGACGGAATAGAACGATCCAGATATTAAACTGACCAGCTTATCGTGTCAATTTTCTCTTGCAATGTGTAGGACATTATTGACTTAAGAATATTTTTTGAAGAAAATTGAATGCCCTACAAAAAAGGCCGATGGCACAGCGGAAAAAACAAGAATTTTGTTTTGACTTCAACTTTAACCTTTAAGTTAAAAGATCAAATTGTAAAACTATACCAATTTTTAAGGCATGATTTTAAGGAAAAGGTTTATCTGACAAAAAAAATTATTTAGACCTTTTTTGTAGAGCATTAAATTTTCTTCAAAAAATATTCTAAAGTCAATTTTGTAAGACAAAAACTCGCTCAGGAAAAAAAATCTAAAATTGCGATGATAGACCTCTTAATATAATATAATGGATAATACTTTTTTTGTCACCCCAAACAATATTGTCGATATAATTTATAAAAAAAAAAATAGTCGATTTTTTTGGCCCAGTCTAGTATATATTTCAAATGAAAATGCGTTATAAATTGATATAAACTCACTGTGAATATCTTCTCGTACTCCCTGGGCAGCTGCAGCAGCCTGGGCGGGTGCCAGCGCACGTGCTGCTCGACTAGAAAGCTCCTGGCGCCGACTGGCGACCGGGCGACGAAGCGCGCGTACTGGGCGCACCACGTCCGGGGCGACTCGCGGCGCATGTCGGTGTCTGGCGGCCAGTTGAGCGCCACCGCCGCGTTGAAGCACTCCCACGTCATCGATTCCGTCACGAGCTCCAGGTAGTAGACGAGCCGCACGAACTCGCTCTGCAAGGCGCGCACGTCCGGCAGCGGTTGCTGGTACAGGTGGTGCTTCAGAAGGGAGGCTATGCGCAGGAAGGGTAAGCACAGCTTTTGGACCTTGGTAGTAGTATTAAAATAATTCGTTAAATTTTATCTGCAACGTTTTGCGAGGTTGTATTTTAATTTATCTTTTTGACAGGGTTTTTTCCAAGACATCTTTAGTTATTCTTATGATATTTTAAAGAGCTCCAAGGTTTTTGACATTTAATTAATTAGGTCTGACATTATAAACTTTGGTTTTGATATTTTAAAATGTAATAAAGTATGTCTAAACTGCCACTTTGAATTTCTAAAGTGTGTCATTCTAAATGAAATTCTAAAATGTGTTTTTAACATTCTAAAGTACGTAATTAAGTATGTCTAAAGCATGTATGGCATTTTAAAGGGTGGTATTGACATTCTAAAGGATGGTATTTACATTTTAACTGACATTCTAAAATATGTTTACAACTTTCTTAAGTATGTCTGACATTTTAAACTGCAATTTTGACATTTTAAATGTGTTTTTTAACATTGTAAAGCATGTCAGACATTCCTAAGGATGTTATTCTAAATGATGTCGATCTAAATGACATTCTAAAATGTGTTTTAAACTGCAACTGCAATTTTTACATTCTAAATTTAGTTTTACCATCCTAAAGAATGTCTGACATTCTAAAGGATGGTATTTACATTTTAACTGACATTCTAAAATATGTTTACAACTTTCTTAAGTATGTCTGACATTTTAAACTGCAATTTTGACATTTTAAATGTGTTTTTAACATTGTCAGACATTCCTAAGGGTGTTATTGGCATTATAAATAACATTCTAAAATGTGTTTTAAACTTTCTTAAGAATGTCTGACATTGAAAACTGTAATTTTGACATTTTAAATTTGTTTTTACCATTTTAAAGCATGTCTAGCATTTTAAGTGGTGTTATTGACATTTTAAAATGTGTTTTCAACATTCTAAAGGGTGTTATTGACATTCTAAAGTTTGACATTCTAAAATGTGTTTTCAACATTCTAGAGTATGTAATTAAGTAGGTCTGACTTTCTAAACTGCAATTTTGACATTTTAAATGTGTTTTTTAACATTGTAAAGCATGTCAGACATTCCTAAGGATGTTATTCTAAATGATGTCGATCTAAATGACATTCTAAAATGTGTTTTAAACTGCAACTGCAATTTTTACATTCTAAATTTAGTTTTACCATCCTAAAGAATGTCTGACATTCTAAAGGATGGTATTTACATTTTAACTGACATTCTAAAATATGTTTACAACTTTCTTAAGTATGTCTGACATTTTAAACTGCAATTTTGACATTTTAAATGTGTTTTTAACATTGTCAGACATTCCTAAGGGTGTTATTGGCATTATAAATAACATTCTAAAATGTGTTTTAAACTTTCTTAAGAATGTCTGACATTGAAAACTGTAATTTTGACATTTTAAATTTGTTTTTACCATTTTAAAGCATGTTTAGCATTTTAAGTGGTGTTATTGACATTTTAAAATGTGTTTTCAACATTCTAAAGGGTGTTATTGACATTCTAAAGTTTGACATTCTAAAATGTGTTTTTAACATTCTAAAGTATATAATTAAGTATGTTTGACATTCAAAACTGCAATTTTGAAATTTTAAATGTGTTTTAACAGTCTAAAGCATGTCTGGCATTCTAAATGGTGTTATTGACATTCTAAAATGTCTTTTCGCATTCTAAAGGGTTTATTGACATTCTAAACTTAAATTTTGTCATTTTAAATTTATTTTTACCATTCTAAAGCATGTCTGACATTCTAAAATGTGTTTTAACATTCTAAAAGGTGTTATTGACATTCTAAAATATGACATTCTAAAATATGTCATTCCAAATGACACTCTAAACTACAATTTTGACATTTTGAATGTGTTTTTAACATTTTATACCATGCCTGACATTCCAAAGTATGTCATTCTAAATGACATTCTAAAATGTGTTTTTAACATTATAAATTATGTAATTAAGTATATCTGACATTGTAAAATGCAATTTTTACATTTTAAATGTGTTTTTAATATTCTGACATTTTAAAGGGTGAATCTCTAAAGTGTGTCATTCTAAAATGTGTTTTCAACATTCTAGAGAATGTAATTAAGTATGTCTGACATTCTAAAGTATGTCATTCTAAAATATGTTTTTATCATTTTAAAGCATGTCTAATTTTCTTAACTTCAATTTTGACTTTTTAAATGGGTTTTCAACATTCTAAAGTATGTAATTAAGTATGTCTGACATTCTAGACTGCAATTTTGACATTTTAAATGAGTTTTTAATATTCTAAAGCATGTCCGACATTCTAAACTGCAATTTGGACATTTTAAATGTTTTTAATATTCTAAATTTCAATTTGACATTTTAAAGTATGACGTTATTAAGCATGTCATTCTAAAATGTGTTTTCAACATTCTAGAGTATGTAACTAAGTATGTCTGACATTCTACACTTCAATTTTGACATTTTATACAGTCAAAAGCATGTCTATCAAAAGGTGTTATTATAAAGAATGTAATTAAGTATGTCTGACATAAATTATAAAATTAATAATTTCCAAAATGTATTTTAAATTTTAGCTTAAAACACATTTCTAAATTTGGAACAGTGTTTTGTACTATTAATCTTTGAATAGATTTTTTGTCCCAATTTCCCTAGTAAAAACTCACCTGTTGCTCGAGAGCGACAAGATTGACCTGCGCCTTGCTGCCGCCCTCGCCCATGCTGTCGTCCTCCATGTAGAGCTCGCTCTGGCCGAGACACGCGTCGAGCAGCGCGAAAGCGTCGCTCAAGTTCCGCACGTCGCCGTCGGTGGCGCCGGCGGCGGCCGCCTGGCTCCTCTCGGCGCCCGTCAGCCCGCAAGACACCTGCGCCACCACCTGATAGTACAGCAGGTTGAACACCATCTGGATCGTCGTCGTGAAATACGCTGCGAAATTATAGTTATATTATATATTAAGGGTTACTGGGTTCCCACCGGGCCTACATAGGTCCAGTTATGTTTTAGTAGCGAGCTACTTTCCCACCTTATTAGCTTGGAACTAAATCGTTGTGGCGTGTGTGGCTCGGAAATGTACGTATTACACAGTTCAACACGATTTTCCTCCCATGAAAAAACAGATTTTAAAAATACCGTAAACACGGGTGACTTTGCACCCCGCGGGTGACTTTAGCCCTTTTATGAAAAAAATTTTCGCGCTCGATAAAATTAACATTTATAATTTGTTGGTCTAAACCTGTCAATTGAGCGATACTATTGAGTTTATATTACAGGAAAATCAGTGTTTTAAAAAAATAAATGGGATTTATTACACTTTAACCCTTTATAGGGCAAAAGGGTGGCATTCAAAATATTGCAATGAGCTTTGGTGAGGAGTTTACAAACAAGTTTAGTTTGATCATAGTACATTCATTTTTTTTACCTGCCCCAAACTCAAAATTTTTGCTGGGACAATATTGTCCCAAAGGGCTCTTCATCTCTTTGAAATGAAGCCACTTAAAACTTTTATTTTTTTCCAAACGCGTACCTACATAAAATGAACAAGAAAATGCATAATAAAACAAATAAATTAAAATAAAATTTATTTTATACATGAAAAACAAATAAGTAAACGTATAAAATACAAATAAAACAATACATAAATACCTCTTCTAAAAATGTGTGTGGACTTACGCATATTTTTTATATTTTGTCAAATTTCTTCCAAGCCGAAATAGGCATTACTTTGAAACTTGTAGATATTATTACAGAAAACCTTGTAGAAATAGGATAAGTTGATGTATTTCAGCTAATCATTTAAAACTAATTGCAATTTTTTTCTAAACTTTATATAAAAAATCGTTACTGGAGCCATTGTATGTTTCTAAGGCCGAAATATAAGAAGTACCAGTAAGTACCTAGCCAATATTAAATATTAAAAATCCATTAAACTTACCTTAATTTACAACACTACACACCTGCACAATGTAAAGCACTTTTTAGGTGAGAATAAACAAACCGTTTTTTAATTTGAAATGTGATAATTTAAAAACATCTTCCCTGTGGACACAGGAACAAATACGTCCCACATTGGCACTTTTTATCGCCCTCTATCAAACTGCGGTCACACTAAGGCAATTCAGCGGTCGGTATCTGCTCTACAGTGTCCTACGCATCTGCTAAAACAGGTGGGACACATCTCGTCCAAAGGACTTCTGTCGGAGCAGGGGTGGGACAATAACGTCCCAATACCCTATATATACAAAAGTTTATATACAAAAGTGCTCTTTTAGTTCCACCCTTACTTCTTAAGAAGTCCCATAAGCCAACTGAATGGCTTGTGCGGGTTAGGGGTAGGAACGGACCGCGGGCTTAAAGTCCCCTCCGAAGGACTAATACACAGTAGGACAAACACAAATAAACAACCATACCCCTGGTGGGATTCGAACCCACGACCTCCGGCTTGTAGTCAGTATGCACTAACCACTAGACCACCGTCGGCGACAAAAGGGTTAAAGTTGTATACAGGGTGTTTCATACCAGGAGGCGAAAAATGAAATTCTATATTCAAAACGTCATTGTAAATAAAAATCTTTAATACTTTTTTGTTCTATCATTTTTCGTTTTCGAGTTATTCGAGTTCAAAGTTTTGAATTCAAACAATGAAAGGATAACAATATGCAATAATAGGATTCATAATTCTAGCAACCAAAATATACATCCATGGAAACGTATATGTGGTCTTCTGCCTTATTTGTCATACAACCTGTCAGTTTATTGTAAATTTATAAACAAAATGGAATTTACGAATGAAGAATATGCAGACATTGTTTTTATTTACGGGTACGCAAATGGAAATGCTTCTGCAGCTTCCCGAGAATATCTGCGTAGATTTCCAAATAAACGACAACCATCCCGCCGTGTATTTTCAGACGCATATCAAAGAAATGGTATTGGAAGCAAGCATACAGGAGGTGCGAACTTCAAACACAATGCTGGTCAAGAAGAGCAAGTAATTGACGCTGTACTTAACGAACCCGGCATTAGTACCAGACGTATTGCTAGTAGGCTGGAAGTTTCTCATAGCTTTGTTTGGAGAACCATACACCGAGAAGTATTGCACCCGTACCATAAGCAAAATGTTCAGCATTTGCAGCCAAATGATCACGAGCCACGACTTCTGTATTGTCAATGGCTGCTTCGTCAACATGAGCAAAATCCAAATTTTATTTCTTCTATTGTATTCTCAGATGAAGCTACTTTAACCAGAGATGGTATTAATAATATCCATAATGAACATGCATTGGCATGGCATTTTCAACGGGCGAATTCTGCCAATTATAGTCCTTCCCAATAGACTAAATGCCGAATCTTATTTAATGTTCTTACAAAATGAACTTAATGAAATGCTGGAAGATGTCCCTGTGGGTTTGCTAAATCGAATGTGGTTTCAACACGATGGGGCACCACCCCATATTGGTAGAAATGTAGTGAATTGGTTGAATAACAACTTCAATGAAAGGAGGATTGGTAGACGTGGCCCAATATTGTGGCCTGCTAGGTCACCGGATTTAAATCCGCTTGATTTTTATTTATGGGGACACATGAAACAGCTTGTCTATGCAGTCGAAATTACCACCGAAGAGCAGCTTAAGCAAAGAATAATAGATGCGGCGGAGCAAATACAAAATGTACAAGATTTTGGACGAGTTTACAATTCTGTTGTTTTGCGGTGCCAAGCTTGTATTAATGCTGAAAGCCATGTTTTTGAAAATGTCCTCTAATATTACAGATAAAAATAAATAGTATAAACTACAAATTGGTCAATTGTCAATCAATAATTCTTGCTGACATATTAGCAATAAACTGACAGGTTGTATTACTTAAATAAGGCAGAAGACCAAATAAGGTTATTTTTTATCTGGACTAGTGTTTTTTTATTAAGTTGGTTGTTTATGTCAGTTTTATTAGTATTTTTTGGATTGGTATCTCTGTTTTACATAATTTGACAGTTTTTGTCAAATCATTAAATTTAAACAGAGGAATATCAAACTCCAATGTATTTATGTGATTTAAAAAACGTCTCTGTACAAATAATTATCCTACAGGACAATAACGAAATACTATTTTGGTCAAAAACCTATTAAAAGGTAAATATTTTTTGATTTCTTAACCACAAATATTAATTTAGTTTTATAGCTGCCAATATAATAGAAATATTTGCCAACTAAACCCCTAAGTTTGCAACGTTGCCGCAGTCCAGATAAAAAAAAAATGAACTGTATTATAAACTTAAATACTTATACGTTTCCATGGATGTATATTTTAGTTGCTAGAATTATGAATCCTATTATTGCATATTGTTATCCTTTCATTGTTTGAATTCAAAACTTTGAACTCGAATAACTTGAAAACGAAAAATGATAGAACAAAAATGTATTAAAGATTTTTATTTAGAATGACGTTTTGAATATAGAATTTCATTTTTCGCCTCCTGGTATGAAACACCCTGTATATTGCATTAGTGCAAAAATCTTAAAAATAAACGCGTTTCAATTTCTATATTATGCGCAATTTTTTGGATGATGTTACTTGGTTAACTACAGGTCGATTTTTTATTGTTTTTATCGGTAATCCCTTGCAATAGATATATGTCGCTGCTAACACGTGTCTAATAAAAATAAAATATAATATTGAATTCATTTTATACGGAAAATACACTGTGAGACAAAGTAACCCGCAACCAGGGGGTAACTTTGCACACCCAGTTTTAAATTTTTATTTTTGAAACTCAGCCCTATGTAATATTATAACATAGTTATTATGAAAGAGCAACTCAAGACTCAAAATTTGGTATACAAAATTTAATGTTTATGATTGTTAAAACCACAAAAAATGTAAGCTTAAGTTTGAAAGTGAGCTAAAGCCACCCGTGTTTACGGTATACGTAATAACTCCTATTAAAGAAAGAAAACATTCATATTTATTAGTAATAAAAAAGTTATTGTATTTTTTTCGCAAAACGCTACTTTTTGACCATAGTACACCGTGATTAAGTATATTTATTTAATATTCGCAATCGATTTACTTACATTGTTCTAGATGGAGGGGCAATAGTAGGACGAACTGCAAGAGGAGGGCCACCGGGTCTCGTATCAGTAGCGGCACCTCCCTCTCGACGGGCGCCACTGCGGTCGTGTTCGACGTGGACGGAATTCCGCACAGCTGCTGAAACGTCATCCAGGATGGCCACATTGCGAGGCCTCGCGCGACCTTCGCGTGCACCGCCAGCACGTGAAGAAGAGGTACTAAAAGAAAGTCATTAAATTGGTTATGACATAATTTATATAAATTTTTATTTGTCTGCCAGGAAATTTAAAAAAAACACTTTGTTTTTAAACCGCTACAATACTTCACAATAATTTTAAGAACGGGAATTTCCATTGAAATGCACGTAGGTAAGTAAATCTTGCTTTTTTTCGTTTTTATGAATAAGTATCTTATTGTTGACTTTAGAGAAAAAAGTAAATACATTTTTGTAGGAAACCAAGTGTTCTGCGAAAAAGTGAAATAGTATATTACACTACAAGGGCAGAAAGTGTGAGATTCCTGCACTGCGCGCGATGATGCCCGAGGCGAAGCCGAGGGCATCATGGCGCGCAGTTCAGGGCTCTCACACTTTCTGCCTGTGTAGTGTATACTATTTTTCTTGCTACCCGGCAGAAAATACGGGAAAAAATTAAATGTGTATAAAAAACTTGTGTCAAAATTAAAATCTGACGTTTAATTTAATTCTGACGTTTACATTCAAAATAAATCAAACTGTAGCGTTGTCATGGTAGCGGGAGGAAATGAAACTTTTCTTACTACCTCGGCCGAAAATACGTATAGCCTTGACCAATGCATAAAACGTAAACTTTCTGCCGTGGAATCGGGGACGAAACAACGTATTTTCTGCCGGGTAGCAAGAAATAGTATATTACACTACAAGGGCAGAAAGTGTGAGATTCCTGCACTGCGCGCCATGATGCCCGAGGCGAAGCCGAGGGCATCATGGCGCGCAGTTCAGGACTCTCACACTTTCTGCCCGTGTAGTGTATACTATTTTTCTTACTACCCTGCAGAAAATACGGGAAAAAATTAAATGTATATAAAAAAATTTGTGTCAAAATTAAAATCTGACGTTTAATTTAATTCTGACGTTTACATTCAAAATCAATCAAACTGGAGCGTTGTCATGGTAATTCAGCGGTGCCAATACAGTAAAAATAAAAGGTTATATTTTAATTAACAAATTACTACTTTATAACAAATAAAAGTATCATTAAACACTTAAAACAACATAAAAAGTAAAAAAGTAAAAACATAAATTGTTTATTTGTTGTTATAATTGCAAAATTATGGTTTAAAACTGTCATATTTTTGTGTTTCTCATGTTGGCAGTACGAAATTTAAATGTTAAGCACGCGTCTAAAAAATTTTTACTCCCGCTATTAGAGTGTGCGCGTATAGCTTGACCAATGCAAGAAACGTAAACTTTCTGCCGTGAAATCGGGGACGAAACAACGTATTTTGAGTCGAGGTAGTAAGAAAAATATATTATTTTTATATTATTCCAAAGATTAAAAATAATTTATAATAACCTTTATCCTACCAAAAAGTACGCCACTGATCGACTAGGAACTTTAGGCTAATCTGGTTGCCTAGTTTAATTTATTATGTTATGGTTGGTAACAACCAGCGTTTCCAGATTCTGTCAAAAAAAGTTGCCAGATTTTGTTTAAATTTAGCTTAATTACAAAAATGACAAAATCAACAAAGCAAATTGATAATTTGGCGTTTTTATTAATTTTTTATTATGTTATTTTTGTAATGAAGGTAAATTCAAACAAAATCTGGCAACTTTTATGACAGAATCTAGTGCATGTCTTTCAAATTTTAGATTATGTGCTAAAATTGTAAATATCTTAACTAAAGGAAGTACTTTTGGATTTATTTACACAAATTGAATGTTTAAAGTTTAACTTGTGAACTTGTCCTAATTTTAAAATTAAAATTTCAAATTTGAGCAAAATTATTTTTATTTAATCTTGAAATATTTTACAAATTTTAATTGTTTTTGATAGGTACCTAAAGTGGATAAGTGGAAAAAACATTATTATTTAAAACCATTAATCTTAACATTTTGCTGAAATTTCATATAACTCTTAAAATATTAATTTTACACTTTTTGCAGACGACAAAATCTCCTACAAAAATGTATTTACTTTTTTTCTGAAATTAACTGTTCAAGTAAAAAAAATTAAATTAGCAGTTAGGTTCCAGCGCTTGAGAAGGCACGACGCGTGTGGGAAAGCTCTTAAAACGTAAATTTTTTTTAAAAAAAGTGCAAACTAATAAAGTTAAACAAACAATTTTCATAGAGTGCAAACTAAAATGGTGTAACGGTCATTGAGGAGTGAAGTGTTAAGTGATATGAATGAAACCGAAAATAAATACTAGACTCACAGAATAAACTAACACATTAATCATTATAATCCTAACACAGTAAAAAAAAAGCCTAATAGCCAAACATTAGACAACAGAATAATTGCGCGTGTCATTTGTTTAACTAATAAATAAATGCAATGCTTAATTTTGGAATTTAAGAAAAAAAGACAAAACTCTACCACAAAACGTGCTTGGGACAAAATTTATTAACAACAACTGACACACTTTACCAAGTGCAGGAACTATCTGACCAGGACACGGACAATGACAATAACGAACAAGACAAAGACCTCGACTAGGAAACTACACCCCTGCAGCGAAATAACAACTCCCCAACTCCATATAGTAATCCCAAATGTTTGGAGTAATACTAATCGACTGGTCTAGGGGGATTCCGCGTCGTACTTAGTTTTAAGTCGGCGTAATTGCCCCCAAAAACCCCCTCCCGTCCCTCCTCCATACCCCACTGAGCGTATAGCATAGGCTCGGCGAACCCGAGAATGGCTATTAAAACTATTCGCCTCTCGCTCTCGAGCCCCAAATAGGGGACAGTACGGAACGCAATGGATATTCGCACCCAGCAAACACGGGTGAAGCCGTGCAGTTGCTGGGGAAGAACAAAAATCGGCGTAAGTAAACATAGGCCTGTACGGGGTTCGAGAGTCAAGAGGAAATGGGGCTGGTTATACGTCTCTTATACTCATACTCAAGTAAAAAAAATTAAATTATATTTTACTGCTAAATTCAAAAAAATTTTAGATCTTAGGATTTTTTAAATTTTGACTTTATTTTTTATAGATTTCCAGACTTTTGCATTTTTATTAAAAATATGGTATAAAATCAATAAAAATTACAGAAAAGTAAAGAAAAAAATTGTGTTGGGTTGTTGTGTTGGATTTTTGGATTTTTAAAAGAAAAGAAAGAAAAAAATTGTGTTTGCTTGGAATTTTTGGTTTTAGGATTTTTACATTTTTATAAAAAAATTGGAGAAAATCTACAAAAGATTAAAAAAAATAAAGAAACATTTTTTCATTTTTGATTTTAATATTTTTACATTTTTAGATTTTTTGGTTTCTAGATTTATTTTTACATTTTTACTAAAAAAATGCCATAAAATCCACACAATAAATAAAAAGAACAAAAAAAAAGATTAAACAATAAAAAAAAGAAAAAACGTCAAAAATTTAAAAAAAATCTGTTGGTTGGGTTTTTGATTTTTTAATTATAAGATTTTTAAATTTTTATTAAAAAATGGTATAAAGTGTAAAAAAAATCAAAATAAAAATTGACCAAAAGTATGCTTGATTGGATTAATAAAATAAAGTTCGAGAAAAAACAAAATATGAAAAAACCCTGAAAGAAAACAACAAATTTTCGTATGCGTTACACTCACCTATGCAATCTCTTTTGGGCAGGAGGGGGTTGGGGGGGTCGGCGGCGGCGACCACCAGGGAACCGCCGCGCTGCACCAGCTCCACCTCGAGGTTAGTGCGCGCGATGGAGGTGACGAAGAGGAACAAACTCTGCGAGATGTGGCGGTTGTGCATCGCCTCGAACATCGGCTTCAGGTGCGTGCTGCTCGACATGTCTTCCATCACGTTGCCGATGGCCTCCGCCATGTTCGAAGAGCTCGGTTTTTGATCGTTTTCCTTCAAAAACTCGCTCAGTTCGTCCAGGACCTGCGACATCCCGGACGGCCTCGATCTCACTATTTGCGCTTTCTCGCCCAGCTGAGGCGACAGAGGCAGCACCGAGTTCGCCAGTTGTCGACAAAGCGGACACAAATACTCGCCACTGCAAAACCACAACGACAAAGTGTCAAGAACATTTCGCTTTAGAGTTTGTGTCAAAATTAAAAGTTAATTTTGACAAAATGATTTTGTATTTACTTTTGGAGTTTTGTTTTTATGTGCTGTTTAAAAAAGTTGTAATCTTTTGAGGAGAAATTATTGGTATTTATTTCGTTTTATATTATAAAATGAATTTGTCGTTTGTTGTTACTTGTGATTTTAAAACGAAATATTTTAATTTAACAGGTTTCATTAGCGGCTAAACGGAAGAATATAATCTCGCACTACAATCAAGAAAGAGCCTGTTGCGTAAAATCTTAATGTCAACAATAGCATTGTTTCTGTAATTGAAAATTTTTACTAAAATCTATTACCTATTCAGTAATTATTTTTATAACTAACCTATTGCAATTTGCAATTACTGCTATAATTAAATCTACTATCTTAAGTACAAAAGGTTTGAATAACCAAAATCTTGCAAAAAATCAAAATGATTCAGTCTTTGCCATATTACCCGAGGCCTGTCCACACGAAGTTGAATATTATTTAGGAATTCGTCAATTTCCTCATCATCCTCACTAACTACCTCAAACATATCCATTGCTTTATTCTGCCGTGCTTAATGAAAACGCCGTAACCAACAATTTTGCGATTTTTGTTTTACGGCATTTTCTACTAGAACAATTCATCCTGTGTCTATCCCCGGTACTCAAAAAACCGTTTATATATAGATACGGTTTTTTGAGTACCGGGGATAGACGCAGGATGAATTGTTCTAGTAGAAAATGCCGTAAAACAAAAATTGCAAAATTGTTGGTTACGGCGTTTTCATTAAGCACGGCAGTATTATAACAGCAGATCACAAAACAAGAAATAATACACAATAAAGCAGAGAAAAATTAAGTTCAACTTTGTTTAAACGGTCAATCATGACGGTTCATTTTTTTTATTAAGTATAAACCAAAGTCAAGCTTGAAGTTTGATTGAAAAACGGCATATTTTGGCTGAACTTAAAAAACCAGCCCTTAAAGTTCATTTTTTTAAATCTGGACTGCGGCAACGTTGCAAATTTAGAGGTTTGGTTGGTAAATACGGAACCAACATTGGTTGCATTGATTAAAACAAACTAAACTAGTTATAAATGTAATTATGATGTAATTGTGGTTATGTCAGTAATGCCAGATTCTGTCAAAAAAATTCTGAATATTTTGTTTGAATTTACCTTAATTACAAAAATGACACAATCAATAATAATAAAATAACGTCGAATTGACAATTTGCATTGTATCATTATGTAATTTTTGCAATTTAAATTCAAACAAAATATGCAGAATTTTTTTGACAGAATCTGGTAACACTGGGTTATGCTTAAATTATTGTGGGTTACATTGAACGGTTTTCAAGTTGAGCCAAGTTGTGTTGTCAAAATTCGTAGTTAAAAATGCAATGCATTTGGCTTTGTTGGAGCGTAGATGAGTAAAATCATATAACAAAGTAGTTAAATATAGGTGACTACGATCCAGGAGAGACAAAGTATTCCTAGCGGATTATAATCGCTTTGAAAAGAATTTATATAAAAGAAATTAAAATTTTATGTGATCACACAACATAAAATTTTGTGTCACACGTGAATGTTGTCCAATCATTGAACTCCAATGGTGAATGGGTATTTTGTTAAAGAAACTGGACGTTAATACTTATAGTAGTGGGTTAATAATAATTATAATGTATATATTGTCCAGGACTATTAATGATCTGTAACTTGCAAATTGAAAGAAGAAAAAGTTTCGTGATTATGCTTACCTTTTTCAAACCCAATTGATGCTATTTTCAAAGACAGGAAAATTAACTAATAGATTTTTCTCAAAAAGGTTGATCCTAACAGCAAGTAATTTTTTTTTATTTCCCCCTTATTTTTTAAAATTTCAACAAATTTTGATCTGCTTAGCCGAAAATAATGTGTGATTTAATATTTGTAAAACCAAAAACGATACTTTTTTACTCCAAAAATGTCCATAGGGCGATGTACTTTTTCTGCCATTGAGGCATTTGGCATAACTTCATGGAGTTTTGCCCTTAAAAGTTCTTTTACTTTAAAATCTGATATTATTTTTGGCATAGTTACCTTTTTATATCGATATTATATAATAATTAACAAGTAAATTATCAATAATAAATATTACTGTCAATTTGACAGTGTCAGAGTATTTAATTAAGGTCTTCAGCAGAAGTATCATTTTTTAAATACTAAAAATGCTAATTCAAACTGTATACTATAGTAATAAAGTATTAATATTATTATTATTTTTTACTTACTTTTCATGCGAAAGATTCACTTGTCGCTGTTGCGATCTCAGGGACAGCAAGTAAGCGTGCAGACAGTCCATGTGCAGGTGGTGACCGCAGGTTTGGACGTGCACGCCTCCATCCCAGCCGGAATTAACCGACAACAGCCAAGATTGCTGAAAATAAAATGAGGAAAAAAATTTATCTTGCAGGAGGCAAAATCGTTCTAGAGTAGAGCTACTTACGGGGTCGAAGTGCCTGTCGAGCTCCTCCACTCGCCTGTCGAGTTCCGACGACAGCGTGTCGTCTTTCCTCAACAGGTGGCGCTCCTCCTCGCACGTGGGCAACACGCTTCGCTCCGGCTGACCGCACTTGCGCCTGTGACCGATCACGCTGGTCGCTTGGATCAGGACCACAAGACCCATGGGTTTGTCCTCGGTACTGGGGGTGCTAACGTTAGAAGAAATTAATGGAAGATGTAAAAAAACTTCCTCACAAATTAGTTTAAGAATAAGTTTTTTGACAAAAATACTTGGGTTTGAGATTCTAAAACCCATTTGGTTATACTAAAATTTGTTTTTGATATTCTAAAATGTGTTTTTGACATTCCAAAATATGATTTGAAATTCTAAAAATGCCTGACATTTTAAAATGTGATTTTATGATCTAAAAGTGATTTTGACATTCTAAACCCATTTGGTAATTCCAAAATTTGTTTTTGATATTCTAAAAAATTATTCTGACATTCCATAGTGTGATTTTACATTCTAAAATATGATTTGACATTTTAAAAATGAGTGTCATTTTAAAATGTGTTTTTGATATTCTAAAATGTTATTTCATGTTCTAAATATGATTTTGTTGTTCTAAAATTTGTTTTTGATATTCTAAAATGTGTTTTTGACATTCGTAAGTATTCTGACTTTCTAAAATGTGATTATTTATTAGCTAAAAATGCCTGACATTCTAAAATGCAATTTTATGTTCTAAATTTGATTTTGACATTCTAAAATCTATTTAGTCATTCTAAAATTTGTTTTTGATATTCTAAAATGTGTTTTTGACATTCGTAAGTATTCCGACATTCCAAAATTTAATTTGACATTCTAAAAAAGCATGACAATCTAAAATGAGTTTTTGATATTCTAAATGTGAATTTGACATTCCAAAAACCTATTTGGTAATTTAAAAATTTGTTTTTGATATTGAAAAATGTGTTTTTTGACATTCGTAAGTATTCTGATATGCCAAAATGTGATTACATTCTTAAAATCCATGAAATTCTAAAATGTGATTTTATGTTCTAAATGTGATTTTCTAATATCGCTGGTTTGGTGCAAGACTATCCTATGTACAATTGGCGTCTCCGAAATGTGAACGATTTTTTGTTGTCATGGATTTTTTTCATAAAATTTATTCGTTCATTCCTGGCTTCGGCCAGTGGTGTTACATATAGAAGGGAGAATACTAAGAATAAGAACAATATCCTAAATCGTTCTATTTTTTTAATAATATTTTAACAAACAATAATATAAACAATATAACAAATAAATTAACTTTAATTTGGTTTTATACAACAATATAAATTAACAAGTAGGTAAATACACAATAAAAATAACATAACTAAATTAACATATTGCTCAAGAAAATTGGTTTTTAAGTGAAATAGCGGCAGATTTAAATGTCAGTAAAAGCTGCATATTTTATATCAAAAAACGTTGGCAAAAACAACAAAGATTGAGAAGACCTATCAGGCAAGGTGTAGGTAAAATCTCCAACGAAAATGAAGACAATGCTCTTGTCGCACTTATTAGGCAAAATCCTTTCAATAGCGCATTTAAGGCCCGAGAAGATACACAATTTCCAGGATCTCTTCGAACAGCTCAAAAAAGATTGAAAAAAGCTGGCTTAAAAAACTGTGCTGCTAAGCTATTTTAATACTTAATTGCAGAGCCATTAGCTGCCACAACCCTTTGCAACCTTCTTGGCATGGACATTATTAGCTCACGCATGTCGTATGAATCAGCAAGCTCATCCCAAGAATTTTCAACAGCACTCCATAGTTCATCTCGGTTTGCTGGCCTAAAGTCCCGTTGATATATATTTTTAACTATAAAACCCCACACGTTTTCAATGGGGTTTAAGTCAGGGCTTCTAGCTGGCCATGGCAAAACAGTTATGTGGTTGTTGTTTACCCACTCTGTAACCACGCGAGCTGTGTGAACTGGTGCATTGTCCTGTAATATAATATTTATTAGAATCGTTTTTGAATACTATACAGTTTTCTTACATGTTGAAATATAAAGTTTTCTGGAAACACATGTCTAACTGAAGGTAGCATAACGTTGTCCAAAATCCTGGTATAGTGCTCAGCCGTTAATCTACCATCAATTTCCCAACATACTCCCGGACCATGGATGCTTATCCACGCCCAAACATTTATGGAAAAGCGTCCACTATTTGAGGTTTTTAATGTATAGTTCTCCTCAAATCTTGCGTTTCTTGGACGATATACACGCAGCCTTCCATTATTGCAAGATTGGAACGTTTTTTCATCCGAAAATATAACATTATTCCAAAAATCTTCTCCATAATTTAAATAGTCATTGGCGAACTGGACTCTCCCGCGCTTATTTTCTTCAGTTAAAAAAACCTTATGAGCAGCAGCACAGTTTTTTAAACCAGCTTGTTTCAATCTTTTTTGAGCTGTTCGAAGAGATCCTGGAAATTGTGTATCTTCTCGGGCCTTAACTGCGCTATTGAAAGGATTTTGCCTAATATGTGCGACAAGAGCATTGTCTTCATTTTCGTTGGAGATTTTTCCTACACCTTGCCTGATAGGTCTTCTTAATCTTTGTTGTTCTTGCCAATGTTTTTTGATATAAAATATGCAGCTTTTACTGACATTTAAATCTGCAGCTACTTCACTTAAAGACCAATTTTCTTCTAATTTGGCTATTGCCCTGGACCTCTGAGCCTCGGTTAAGTGGGGTGGCATTTTTAATATTGCAATTGACAACTATTATCAAATTTGACAACTACCGACGACACTGATGCAAAGCCCATATTACACGATTAAATTTTGCCGTTCACATTTCGGGGACGCCAATTGTACATGTTAAAAGAATTGAAGAAAAACAATATTAAACATTTCTATTTATTGTAACTAAATTGTTTTTTGCGTCATTTTGTAAAAAATTGGAAGGTTTTACATCCAAAGATTAATAAATAAATACAAATTATGCAAAAAACAATTTAGTTACAATAAATAGAAATGTTTAATAGTGTTTTTCTTCAATTCTTTGAAAATGGACTTAGGATAGTCTTGCACCAAACCAGCGATATGTGTTTTTGACATTCTTATGTATTCTAATGTTCCAAAATGTAATTTGACATTCTAAAAATGATTTAACATACAAAAAATGCCTGACATTCTAAAACTCATTTGGTCATAGTAAAATATGTTTTTGATATTCTAAAAGCAAGTATTTTAACATTCTAAAGTGAGATATTACATTCTAAAATATGATTTGAAATGCATTTTAAAATGTCTTTATAATATTTTAAAATGTGATTTGATGTTCTAAATGTGATTTTCACATTCTAAAACCCATTTGGTCATTCTAAAATCTGTTCTTGGTATTCTAAAATGTGTTTTTGACATTCGCAAGTATTTTGACATCACAAAATGTGATTAAACATTGTAAAAATGCGATTTTATTTTCTAAATGGGATTTTGACATTCTAAAACCCATTTGGTTATTCCAAAATTTGTTTTTGATTTAAAGGTGTGTTTGACATTCTAAAATGAAATTTGACATACAAAAACATGATTTGACGTTCTAAAAATGCCTGACATTCAAAATTGTGATTTGACATTCTAAAAATACCTGAAATTCTAAAATGTGATTGGATGTTCTAAATGTGATTTTTGGCATTCTAAAACCCATTTGGTCTTTCTAAATTTGTTTTTAATATTCTAAAATGTGTTTTGACATTAGCAAGTGTTCTGACATTCCAAAATGTGATTTTATGTTCTTTATGTGATTTTTGGCATTCCAAAGCCCATTTGGTCATTTTAAAATTTGTTTTTAATACTCTAAATTACATTCCAAAGTGTGATTTGACAATCTAAAAATGCCTGGCATTTTAAAATGTGATTTGACATTTTAAAATCCATTTGGTCATTCTAAAATTTGTTTTGGATATTCTAAAATGTGTTTTTGACATTCGTAAATATTCTGACATTCCAAAATGTAATAGACATTCTAAAAATCCTGACATTCAAAAATGTGTTTTGCCATTCTAAAATGAGATTAGATGTTTTTAATGTGATTTTTGCGTTCTAAAACGCATTTGGTCATTTTAAAATTTGTTTTTGACATTCTTAAGTATTCTGGCATTCCTAAATTTGATTAGACATTCTAAAAATGCCTGACATTCTAAAATGTGATTTGTTGTTCTAAATGTGATTTTGATATTCTAAAATTTGACTTATAACTTTTATTTTTTGAAGAACACAAAGTTTATTTACTTTAAATTGTTACTATTTGGTTATTCAAGCCTCATCATGTAAATGGTGTTATAAATAAGTAAATAAATAATTGAACAACATACCTTTGGTTGCATATAACGCAATCGTACTCCTGCTTGCTGACCAGCACCTCCTCTTCCATGCCCGCTTCGCTTTCTTCCGTTTCCATGGCCTTTTCCATAAATTGCTTTTGTTTGTTGGCGAATTCCGCCATCAGCTTCTGCTGTCTCTCCTTCGCGCGTCTCCTCCTCTCCTCGCGCTCCTTGTTCTCCTTCTGCTTCTTCGCCTCCTCCCTCTCCTGCTCCGACGGCCAGAGCTTCTGTATGGTCTCCTCTATGCACTGCCTGCAATTGCTGTCCACCTTGGCGATCTTCCTGAGCAACTTTCCAATGTAGTAGGGGCCGTCCCCGATAGGGGGCGCCTCCTCCGTCTCCTCGCCGCCGCTCTCGTCCTCCTCTTCGAGGTTGAAGCTGTCCGGCGCGCCGGACAGCTGAGAGTGCAGCTTCAGCAGCAGCGATATTATGCTCTCGTTCATTTTTATGCAGGGCGGGTTGCTGCTGGAGTTCTGGGAAATAAACGAGGGAAATGTTACCCCTATTGTTTTAAAAACCCTCTGGAATCGTTTGCAAACAATTTAAATATTAAATTATTTCCAAAAAAATGCCCTTGACCACGGTGTACTCTATCTATCCCAGGCGGGAGTGTGGTAGTGGGAGGCGTGACGTCAGGAGGCCGACTACAATTAGCAAATTAATGTATAATCATATACGCTAAAGAAGTATCGGGTTTTCGCAACGCGCGCGCCATCATCATCAATTTAAGAATTGTCAACAATACATTTAAAGCATACGAACTGTACATCAATTTTAAATAAATAGGTAGTTTTTTCACAAAAGAGAGGAAGGCAGAAGTCTTACTCGGCAAATTTTGTTCAATTGCACCTCTAAATCGCGCACGTTATTTGTGTTTTACGTCGCAAGGAAAAAATTTACGAAAAATTTTATTACTCGATCTCGATTGATTATTCTTTAGATCATTGATTAAGAAACTCAACGCTTAAATGCTTCTATACCTAAACTATAGTTACGTTAGTGTGTGTATCTTATCTAAGTGATCAAGGTGAATTATTGCGTTTTTAATTGTAAATAAAATTCAAGAACTAAATCCTTGCATTTTCATGTTTTGCCAAAGGATCCAATTCGGTAAGTACATTTGTTGGTGCAGAATTAACTAATGATAACTTTACCTAGTATAAATTATATTTAAGTGTGGATATTTTTAAGAAATTGATAAAAAATAATTTTTCCACAAACATAACCTTAAAATCAACCATTTTTATATTTTAGTTCTCTAAAAAACGCCGACAACTGCATTTTAAACAACAAAATATACCTACGAATACATGGCAACATAATATTATATATAATACATAATATAATGGTATTTTACCGTTGAGCACTCACTTGAGACTTTCTTAATCAACGCTTTTAATAATGCTAAATGCTGTTTAAATTTAGACGACTTATTTGTTTGACGATTTTTTAGAGATGGGAATCGGAAAGTTTCCATTTTAAGGAAACTTTCCGTTTTGAGCACTCACTTGAGACTTTCTTAATCAACGCTTTTAATAATGCTAAATGCTGTTTAAATTTAGACGACTTATTTGTTTGACGATTTTTTAGAGATGGGAATCGGAAAGCTTCCATTTTAAGGAAACTTTCCGTTTTGGAAAGTTTTCAATTGGGAATTTATTTTCATTTTGAAAGTTTCTTTTAAGCTACCGGAAACATTCCTTGGAAACATTCCTTGGAAACTTTCCTTGTTTTTTTCATTTAAATGTCAATTGTTTAACCGCTGATTTTCGTTAAGGCCATGATACAAGGCCAAGAAACTTTGAATAAGAATTTAATGTGTGTTAATTTAAGGCAGAAGAAGAAGTATAAATAATGGAAGTTATGTTACATAACCTCAATGAAGCCGGATTATTCAGCATCATCACAAAAAACCCTGGCATAAAAAAATTTTTTCGCAATAAAAATTTTTTTTTTTGAAACTTTCGGAAAATTTCGGGAATTTTCGATGGAAAGTTTCCGGGAATTTTCGTCAAATGGGAATTTTCCCATCTCTACGATTTTTACTGAATTGAAATGTTTACACTTTTCACGTTAATCATTACTAAAATTAAACCTAACAAAATTATTATTTTTTATTCTATATTATAAAAATTGACAACACTTATTTTAAATATCCAAAACAATCGTTATTTAAAAATTAAAGAATTATTTTTTGTGTGCAGTTCTGTTTGTTTTAAATAAATTACTATTTTAATAGCAGTTCTGTTTGTTTTCAATAAATTACCTAGTACATATTGTTGTGTTGATTTTGATAGAATATGTACCCATGCATTGTCAACCGATTCAGTAAAAATTACTCCTTAAAAGCAATTATAATTCATAAATTTGGTTGCAAAGCAATGTAATACAACAGGCCTCCTGACGTCACAGTTTCGATGCAGGAGTGTGGGCTACACTCCCGCCTGGTACCACGGTTTGACTGGTCTATAGTATACTAGCAGAAGGGAAACAAATGAGACTTTCGCCGACTTACCTCGACTGGCAGCCTCTTTCTGATGGGGTAGGGCTTCGAGGTGGAAGGCACGACGGCCATGTTGGAGGGGCCTGCGGGCCAGAGGCGGTTTGCGTTCAGCATCGGCGTCCGGAAGCAGTAGCCGCCGTTGCCGTTTTGCCGGAGGGCGGGCACCTGGCACGGTTGCAGGTTTGCCGCCGCCGTGTCCGCCGCCGGCGGTAAGGCCGGCAACCCGCTTTGAGAAGCTACAAGTGATACGAAGAGATCTCGTAAAAAAAATTTTCAAGTTATTTTTTGTTGTTGTAATATTTTAACTTGGATAGTATTTTTAAAGTACAACATCCTTTTCGCATAACACGAACATGTTAGTTAACACATTTATTCATCAACCCCTTCAATTAATAAAAGTAAAATCTTGAACAATATCTTGGATTTTGGAATCTCATTAAAATTATGTAATAACAATATATGTAAATAAAAATTATAAAAAAACATTAAGTAATAGTAAAAATTAAATCTTATCTTATAAAAATAATATTTTTCTTCGTCAAAATTCGTTAGATACACTAGATTTTAGACGTTTATAAATGTGTTTTTCTACTCCTATTACAAAATTTGAACCTTCTAATATCACTTTTATCTATGGAATGGCATATATTCCGTAAATTGTTACAGAATAAAATATTCTATCATCTGATGACAGAATAAACACTCGTGGCGACATCTCTGTTTTTAATATCTAACAAATTTTAGACCGATCCAACCTCACTTTCTTCCAATTAAATTATTTTTCTATGGTATTTTTTGGAAACGTAGAAAAAGTATAGTCTGAAACAAGTTTGGAATTGCATATTCCGCCTTCGTGAAACCGTCAAACTCGCCTTCGGCTCGTGTGACAAACTCTTCACTCGAGCGGAATATGCTGTATTCCAAACTTGTTACAGAATATACTATTTTTAACATTATAAAATTTGTTTTTGACATTATAAAGTATTCTGATGTGATATGATATTTTAAAATGTGTTTTCAACATTGTAAAAAATTACTTGACATTTTAAAATGTGCTTTTGATATTCTAAAGTATTTTGAAATATGATTTGGTAATTTAAAATTTGATTTGATATTTTAAAATGTGTTTTCGACCTTGTAAAAAATGCCTGACATTCTAAAATGTGTTTTTGATATTCTAAATTATTCTAAGATTTGATTTGATATTCTAAAATGTGTTTTTGACATTTTAAAGTATTCTGAGATGTGATTTGATGTTCTAAAATTTGTTTTCAACATTGTAAAAAATGCCTGACATTTTAAAATTTGTTTATAAAATGTTTTTTTGACATTTTACATTGTAAAAAATGCCCGTAACTCTAAAATTTGATTTGATATTTTAAAATGTGTTTTGAAATTGTAAAAAATGCCTAAAATTCTAAAATGTGTTTTTGATATTTTAAAATGTTTTTTTGACATTCTAAAATGTGTTTTTGACATTTTAAAGTATTCTGAGATGTGATTTAATATTCTAAAATTTGATTTGATATTTTAAAATGTTTTCGACATTGTAAAAATGCCTGAAATTCTTAAATGTGTTTTTGATACTCTAAATTTTTTTTTGACATTCTCAAATGTGTTTTTGACATTGTAAAGTATTCTAAGATGTGATTTGATATTCTAAAATTTGTTTTATTATTTTAAAATGTGTTTTCGACATTGTAAAAAATGCCTGACATTCTAAAATGTGTTTTTGATATTTTAAAATGTTTCTTTGACATTCTATAGTATTCTGAGATGTGATTTGATTTTCTAAAATTTGATTTGATATTTCAAAATGACATGACATTGTAAAAAATGCCTAAAATTCTTAAATGTGTTTTTGATACTCTAAATGGTTTTTTGACATGCGAAAATGTATTTTTGACATAGTATTCTGAGATGTGATTTGAAGTTCTAAAATTTGTTTTAACGTTTTAAAATATGTTTTCAACATTGTAAAAAATGCCTAAAATTCTATGTGATTTGATATTCTAAAATTTAATTTGATATTTTAAAAGGTGTTTTCTACATTTTAAAAAATGCCTGACATTCTAAAATGTGTTTTTGATATTCCAAAATGTTTTTTTGACATTTTGAGATGTGATTTAAATCACATCAATTGATATTTTAAAATTTGATTTGATATTTTAAAATGGTTTTTTGATATTGTAAAAAGTGCCTGACATTATAGAATGTATATTCTCAAATGTATTTTTGACATTATAAAGTATTCTGAGATGTGATTTGATATCCTGAAATTGGTTTTGTAATTTTAAAATGTGTTTTCGACAAAAATGCCTTACATTCTAAAATGTGTTATTGATATTCTAAAATTTTTTTTAACATTCTTGAATGTGTTTTTGACATTCTAAAGTATTTTGAGGTCAAATTTAATATTCTAAAATATGATTTGATACTTAAAAATGTATTTTCAACATTGTAAAAAATGCCTACAATTTTAAAATGTTTTTTGGCATTCTAAGGGCCGGTTTATCAATCTCTAGTTAAGTTCCAGTTATTCTATCTGACAGTTAAATTTCATATCGATCGTTGTGAGAACAATGGTATCCATGGAAATTATCTAACAGATAACTAACTGCAACTTTAACTGGACATTGATAAACCGGCCCTAAAATGTGTTTTTGATATTCTTAAGTATTCCGAGATGTAATTTGATATTCTAAAATTTGATTTTATATTTTAAAATTTTTTTACGACATTGTAAAAATGTCAGACATTCTATAATGTGTTTTTGATAGTCTAAAATAATTTTTGTTATTATAAAATGTTTTTTATTATTATTAATTATGATTTGACATTCTAAAATAAAAATTGACATTCTAAGGTGGGTTTTTGAGATTCTTAAGTATTCTGATCTAACATCCCTAACCTCACTTTATTCTACCAAATTTCATTAAAAACGAACAATTAATATCTATTTTAGACAAGTTTTTTTTTTAATATTTAAAAGGAAAAATAAAATACATTTAGGTTTACAATAAAAATAAGTACGCCACTGAACGAGGCATACTTCAGAATGGGTACAAACTTAATTTCATCAATTTATGTTTATGTTTATAATGTGGTAAAATAAAGTAGTCTGAAACAGTTAATTTTTGATGAAATTATATTTGTACCCATTCTGAAGAATGCCGCGTTCAGTGGCGTACTTATTTTTCTCCTAAACCTCCCAAATGTTTTATTTTTCGTTATAAATATTTAAAAAAATCTTGTCTAAAATAGTTATTAGAGTACTTTTTTTTTAAATGACCCTAATAATTTTTTCCGAAAAAATGTTATAGTAAGCATCTGTCAAGTGACATTAAAAATATTTTTTAAAGCTTAGATAGAGTTTTTTATTTTTAATCTTTTGAGCCTTTGTTCATTAAAATCAAGTAACAAATAAAAAAGTTTCGGGGGTGTTTCCATCTTAAATGGGCCACACTGTATATACCATTCTAAAAAATTATTATATTAAAGATAAAATTATTTAATATACAGGGTGTTATGTAATTAATGTAATATATTAAAATGGGTAGTTGCTTAGGGTCCATAAAGAAGCACCTGAAACTTTTTCTAAATTCCAAAGACTAAAAATAATAATAACCTTTATCATACCAAAAAGTACGCCACTGATCGACTAGGAACTTTAGGCTAATCGTTGCCTAATTTAATTTTTTATGTTATGATTGGTAGCAACCAGCGTTTCCAGATTCTGTCAAAAGAGTTGCCAAATTTTGTTTAAATTTAACTTAATTACAAAAATGACAAAATCAACAATGCAAATTGTTAATTTGGCATTTTTATTAATTGTTTATTATGTCATTTTTCTAATAAATTCAAACAAAATCTGGCAACTTTTATGACAGAATCTAGTGCATTTCTTTCAAACTTTAGGTTATGTGCTCAAATTGTAAATATCTTAACTAAGTGAAGTTCATTGGACTTATTTACACAAATTGAATGTTTAAAGTTTAACCTGTGAACTTGTCCTAATTTCATCTGAGTAAACAGAAAGAAAAAAAACCGATGAAAAAATTAATTTTGTGGTTATGGAGTTTTTAAAATAGGTACTAAATTTTCTCATCATTGCTTAAGCTAATAGCTGGATGAGTAAATAAATACAGAAGGGTATTAGAGGTTTAAGGGCATGAAACTTTTGTATTTATTGAGCTTTATTTATTTTTTGCAAGAAAAAGTTAAGGAACAATTTTTTACAACAGTTACTGGCAACGCACAGAATACAAGTGTGTAACCAGTGGCGTATCACAAAATATATAAAAAAACTTCTAATGCATATTTTTGCTTTATCTTTGGGAAAAATATTTTTTTAAATATTTTTACGTTACACCTTATGTCAAAAGGTATTCAGTATTTTAATATATTACATTAATTACATAACACCCTGTATAAAAAACGCAAAAGGGAAAAATAAATTAATTAAAAAAAAATTGTAAAATATCTAGGATTTTAAAATATGACTTCAAAATTATTAATGCAAAAAATACTGTAATTTATGTACATACCGAGGGGCATCGCTTCGTTTTGTCCGCCATTGCCGACCACCTCGACGTCCATGGGGGTGGCGCCCAGCAGCGCCCTTCTAAACAGCTGGACCGCCAGCGGCTCCGGCGACTCGGGCTCCGCGCCGCCCCCGCCCGTGTACAACGCCACGTCGTTGGAAACACCGTCCAGCCCCCCGCCGTACCCCGCCTCCTCCTCCTCCTCCTCCTGCTCTTGCACGATGGCGGCGCTGGTGACGGTCGCCACGGTGCAGTCCGCCCGCGGCACCACCGCGTTCGAGGAGGAGGCGGCGGCGACGTCGCCGGCCGTCGAGCCGCCGCCGTCTCGACTTTGTTTAAGCATCAGGATCAAGTCTTGCTTCTCGAGGTGGGCGCCGTACGCTAGCTCGTTCTCAAGCTCGCTCTCCTCCCAATCTAAATCGCCTTTTCAAGATTTCATTTTTTTAATAAATAAAAAAATAAATTCTTGAATATTTGTTGATGATTTTAGGATATTTTAACTCTTCAGTTAAGAAACCCTCAAAATAAATGAAACCTACATTCATCGTAAATATACGAATACAGTCTGAAAACTTTATAAAAGGTTCCTAATCGTTTCTAAACTTTACTGGAGAGTCAAAGTCCTAAAACCATCAAAAAATATTCTGAAAGCGTTTTAAAATATACATAAACATTAGTCCCCATTAAAATTATTATTATTATAAAGATTAAAATGAAATGTTTGCTTTCAAATAATCAAGGGCCTTTCCATCTCAAATCGACCATGCTAAAAGGGGTAGGTCGTTATTTTTTAACGAAATTTTTTACAGTTTATCCCTTTTTACGAGTGACATTTTTTCTTAAAAATGCGATAACTTGACCAAAACTGTTTGGATGTAAATAGGTAAATATAATAAAAAAATATAAAAGATAAAGTAAATTTACTCATTTTTTTAAATTTTTTTTTCTAAAAAAGGCAAAAAAAATTGAGGTCAAAATTTTGACATTGCCACATTTTTTTTACTTCATATTTTTTTGTTTGAAGTAATAATATGAAAAACTTTCACCAAAATTCCCGAGTTGGCTAAATTCATCGTTTCGGAATTATTAATTTTTTATGGAAAATGCCATTTTGTAGTAAATTCGTGGTTAATCGCAAAAATTTCGTATTTTACCTATGGTAACGAAACTGGGGTGACCTATAAAGTGTAATTTAGAATTTTTTGACATATTTAACATATTTTTGTCATTTGGTCTTAACTTTTTATTTTTTAATAAAACCCTATGCATTTTTACATATTTGTCAATTTTTGACCTGTCGAATAATTTTTTAATTAAATTATATTCCAATATCTAGGTGCCTTGAATTGGCTTTTCTGCTTCATGTTGGGTCAAGTAGTCTGGAAAAAATATAATTTTATTCTTTTTTTGCAATGCTGGTTTTAGAAGCTTTCAAAAATTAAAAAACCATACTTTATGCCAAAACTATTTTTTTTTTAATGAAAGAGGGCGGTTCGTTGGTCATAAATTTGATACCAAATATTAAGGCATTTTTTAATAATCTCGTAATCTCTTAAATAAATTTGAATGTTTATTAGGTTTTAAAGTATGTAGAGAAGTAAATAAATTAAAAAGGCTTTGAAACCTTTATGTTTAAAAGAAGTATCAGATTTGAGAGTTTGTTAGCTTTTTATTTCACTATGAAAACATAGGCTAAAACTTTTTTATAAAATAAAATAAAAATAATAATTGAGGTGGTCATCAAAGGGGTGTAAGTAATTGCTCAACATTTTTTGGTTTTTATTTTGATTATAAAAAGTTATATCTAACTTCCCCATAGTGTGGCCATTGTAGGGAATCTCTGGCAATAAATAAAAATAACGAAATAAAAATAAAAATTTATTGGACCTCTTAGGCTTAATACTTATTTTCCTTCCTGATAGAGCCTCAGTCAAAAAGAATAACCAACCAACATTTTTTGTTTGTTTTAAATTTGTTCGAAATCGCGTTTTATAAGTTTCTAGTGAATTTGATTAATTTCTTTACTTCCTTTTTATTATTTTAACCAAAATGAACTTACATATACTTTTTACATCTTTTAACAGTAACACATGCAAAAATATTAAGTATTTACAGTTGACTCTAAAATCTTTAATAATTTAATTTACTTAAGAGCTTTTCCAGTGAAACCAGAAATGACAAAAATATGTTAAATATGTCAAAAATTTCTAAATTAAACTTTTTAAAGGTCACCCCAGTTTCATGACTCTAGATAAACTACTAAATTTTTGCGATAAATCATGAATTTACTAGAAAATGGCATTTTCATTAAAAAAATAATAATTCCAAATGTGGCAATGGTCAAAATTTTGACCTTAACTTTTTTTGCCTTCTTAGAAAAAGCAATTTAAAAAAAAATTAAGTAAATTCACTTAATATTTTATATATTTTTTGTATGTAGTAAACATTTACCTATAATTAAAAAAATTGTAACTATCGAAATAGTTTTGGGCAAGTTATCGCATTTTTTAAGAAAAAATGTATCTCGTAAAAAGGCAAAAATCGATGTTTCTGTCAATTTTTCAAAAATTTCCTACGGTTAAACAAAACAAATTTAAGAAAAAAGAAAAAAATGGGGGTCTCATCAATTTCGAAAAAAATGTCGATTTGAGATGGAAAGACCCTCAAGAAATAATTTTAAATATAAAAAATCCAAACTTACTGTCGGAGCTGTAGGTGATGGGCGAGACTTCCGGTTCCGGCGACAAAAACACCCTGCCGACCACGGAACGAAGGTTGTCGAACAAACAATCGCTAGCGTACCAATTAGTTAGGTCCATGTCGTGTAAGGTGCGATGTGGCGGCTGCCCGCTCGGACATACTTTTGTATCCTAAGACATTTTTTTTTATAAAAAATAGGCACCTAAATATGCAAGTTTTTTAGGTGAGAAAATATAAAAATAAGTACTGAAGTACTGAAAAGTAATTTTTAGGGATGAAATTTTATTCAACAATATTTTTATTGTTTGAAAATAACTGACGAAATGCCTGTACAAAATAATACCACATATTCCTGAGACCAAAATAATTTTCATCAATGAATAAAATTGTCCTAAAACTATCTAAACTTGCCCTAAAACAGTCTTAAAACATTCAAAATGATCAAAGAATGTTCAAAAATAACCTAAAAGTTTAAATATCATAAAGTGTCTAAAATTTAAAATTGCCCTAAAACAGTCTAAGAACCTTCAAAATGTTCTTAGTGTTTAAAAATATCCTGAAAGTTTAAAAATGTCATAAAGTGCCTAAAATTGTCCTAAAACTATTTAAAATTGTTCTAAAGCAGTCTTGGAACTTTTAAAAAAATTTAAATTGTATTTTTTATATTTAAAAATGTATAAAAATGTTCGAGGGTCTAAAATTGCCCTAAAACTATCTAAAATTATCCTAAACCAGCTTAGAACCGTTAAAATGTTTAATTGTTTAAAAGTATTTTAGAAGTTCAAATGTGTATAAAAATATTATTAAGTGTCTAATAATGCTCTAAAACTATATAAACTTGTACTTAACATCTTTGAACATTCAAAAGTGTATTTAAATATCATAAACTGACTAAAACTGTTCTAAAACTATTTAAAATTGTCTAAGAATCTGTAAATGTTATAAGAGTGTTTATGCACGATGACATTATAATATGACAATTATAACAAAAATTCTTTGACGTAAACGTCTTTTTATAGCCCGCGGGCGTTATTATGGCCCAGCGGGCTATAATGAAGCGTCAAAAATTAAAAACAACAATGTTACACCATTTGATATATTCTAAGTAAGTTTTTTCGTATAAAGATTTTGATTTTACCGGCAGCAGGCCGCAATTTTTCGCCTTTTCAGCTGCTTCCTCAATTTCATTTATCTTTAAACTTTAAAACTGACTGATGTCAGTTGACATTATAATATGACAATTATAACAAAAATTCTTTGACGTAAACGTCTTTAAAAACAATAATATATTAAAAATAATAATAAATTAATCGTGCATAAAGTTTTGTATGCATTGCTGGCATAACTGGTTTTTATGGTCCTACGACGCTTTTCTAGCCCTCGCGCTAACGCGCTCGGGCTCGAAATAGCGCCTCGGACCATAAAAACCTTATTATGCCCTTAATACATAAATAACTATTAAAAAAATAACCTAAAAGTTTAAATTTATATACAAATGTCATAAAGTTTCTCAAATTGTCCTAAAGCTATCTGACATTGTCCTAAACTGGTCTTAGAACCTTTAAACTATGGAGCAAACATGCAAAAGCCGATAAATCCATTTTAACTTATTCAGAGATATTGACAAAAAATGTGTACAGTAGAGTCGGTTTCGATTTTTACTTAAAATGCCGTGCCAAGTCAAAAGAGTTTACCAAAATTAGTAAGAATCGGTACTATCATCTTAAAATGTAAAAATGGATGTATCGGTTTTTGCATGTTTGCTCCACAAATGTTCTAAGCTTTTAAAAACATACAAATATGTATAAAAATGTCCTAAAACTATCTAAAATAGTTGGAAGTTCGCTTTTATTAAATAACTTTGTAAAAAACAAACGTTTTTATACAAAATTTAATATGCAGATTTTTTTCAGGACGGAAAATATAAAATATTCTATGAGTTTAAAATTGTCATTAATTGTCTAAAATTGTCGTAAAACTATCTAATCTTGACCTAAAACAGTCTTAGAACATTAAAAATGTTCAAAGAGTGTTTAAAAATATCCTAAAAGTTTCATATCATAAAGTGCCTAAAATTGACTTAAAACAGTCCTAGATCCTTTAGGTGTTGAAAGAATGTTTAAAAATAACCTACAAGGTATAATAATATTAAATATCATAAAGTGACTAAAATTGTCTTAAAACAGTACTAGAACCTTCAGATGTTCAAGAGTGTTTAAAAATATCCTAAAAGTTCAAATATCACGAAGTGCCTTATATTGTTCTAAAACTATATAAAATTACAACTTCAAAAGTGTATTTTTAGAAGTTTAAAAATGTATAAAAATGTCTTCAAGAGCCTAAAATTGCTCTAATATTATATGAACTAAAACTAATTATTCTTCTCTAACTATTTACCTTGTCGTCCTTCTGGTCGGAGATGATGACGGCCTGCTCCAAGAGGAACATGACGAGAGCCATGACGTGCTCGTTGACGTTGCCTTTGACCGCCTTGTAGAGGATGACGAGGGAGGCGGCGTGAAAAACGCGCGACTTCAATATTTGTCGCGGGTCTTCGTAGGCGGGACCGCAGTCGGCGGGCGTGCGGAACGGCGGCCACGGACTCGTGCCCGTTTTCAACTTGTTCGCACACCGGGCGCTAAAACAAACATTTCTTAACTATTTGCCTTACTTTTTACATAAAGTAACAAAAACTTAAAATAAATATTTTTGTTAATTTTACACTACCTACATACAAAAAGGTGAACAACTTTTTCAAGATAAATTTTCTATTGCCATTTTTTTAAATTAGCAAAATTGTAGGAGTTATTTAACTTTTAAAGCCGCCAAGAGCGAAGTACTATCGATTTGAAATCGATAAAGCCGCCAATTTTGAAACCCCTTGTATATAAACAGTGTTTATTAAACGTCCTAAGAGTGTTTAAAAATATCCTAGAAGTTTAAATATGGTTAAAAATGTCATAAAGCGACTAAAATTGTCTTACAACATATCTGAAATTGTCTTAAAATAGTCTTAGAACCTTAAAAATGTTCTAAAAGTAAAATACATACTTAAAAATATACTAGAATTTAAAAAAGTCATCAAGCGATTACAATTGTCCTAAAACTACTTAAGATTGTCCTAAGAACCTTTAAAATGTTCCAAGTTCAAATATGTATAAAAATGTCATCAAGTGCCTAATATTGTCTTAAAACTATCTGAATTTGTCTTAAGACAGTCTTAGGCCCTTTCAATTATTCTAAGCATTCAAAAATATTTTTAAAAGTATCATAAAATACCTAAAGTCTATGTCTGACGGTGCAACTTCTCGCGGCGACTTTGTTGCGGCGACTAGGTCGCCGCGATTTTTTGGTGGTCACACGATGCAACTAATCAGCTGATCTAACCTGTCCTAAAATAGAACATGTTCTATTTTCATGCAATAAAATCGCCGCGACTTGGTAACTTTTTTGGGGATTTACGAATTTTCACTAAATTTTTTGGTTGGTACTTAATATTTATCAGCTGTGGAATGACAGATGTGATTTGCGTGTGCTTTAATCTGAGTGTTTTTATTTTTACACCACAAAATACTTATAACTATACTTATAACTAAAAGAAAAATAAAACCGATTTAAATAAACATTAAATTTGTTTAGGTATTTTTGTTTTTCAACTAAGTAATTTTCGGTTATGTTGGCAATCCTAGTATAAAATAACGTCAGTTTGGTTGCACCGTGTGAACACCCTAGAGGCGAGAAAGTCGCTGCAACTAGTCGCCGCAACAAAGTCGCCGCGAGAAATTGCACCGTCAGACATGGACTTAAAATTGTTCTAAAAGAATTTAAAATTGTCCTAAAACCTTTAAAGTGTTCTAAGAGTGTTTAAAAATACCCTTATGTTTTGAGTGTTTAAAAATGTCTTAGTAGTTTAAAAACTGCCCTAAAACTATGAAAAATTGTCATAAAACAGTCTTAGAACCTTTAAAATGTTCTAGGAGTGTTTGAAAATAACCTAAAAGTTTAAATTTAATTACAAATGTCATAAAGTTCCTCAAATTGTCCTAAAGCTATGTAAAACGTTATAAGCGTTTAAAAAATATGCATATATGTATAAAAATGTCAAAAAACTATCTTAGGACCTTTAAAAAGTTCTAGGAGTGTTTGAAAGTTTAAATATGCGTTTAAAAATATCCTAGAAGTTAAAAATGTCATTAAGTGCCTAATATTTTCCTAAACCCGTTTAAGAACATCTAAAATATTCAAAGATTGTTTAATAATATTCTCTTAAAACCTAAAAATGTCCAACATTGTTCTAAAAATATTCTAGAAGTTCAAAAATGTCATCAAGTGCCTAAAATTGTCCTAAAACTATCCAAAATGGTCCTAAAATAGTCCTAAGATCTTTAAAATGTTAAAGTGTTTAAAAATATCCTAGAAATTTAAAAATGTTATGAAGTGCCTAAAATTGTCCTAAAACTATTTAAAATTGTCCTAAACCAGTCTTAGAACCTTTAAAATGTTATAAGCGTTAATATTATATTCTGTAACAAGTTTGGAATACAGCATATTCCGCTCGAGTGAAGAGTTTGTCACACGAGCCGAAGGCGAGTTTGACGGTTTCACGAGAGCGGAATATGCAATTCCAAACGTGTTTCAGACTATACTTTTTCTACGTTTCCAAAAAATACCATAGAAAAATAATTTAATTGGAAGAAAGTGAGGTTGGATCGGTCTAAAATTTGTTAGATATTAAAAACACAGATGTCTCCACGAAGGTTTATTCTGTCATCCAATAATAGAATATTTCATTCTGTAACACTTTACGGAATATATGACATTCCATAGATAAAAGTGATATTAGAACGGTCAAATTCCGTAATAGGAGTAGAAAAAATATATTATATATGTATAAAATGTCACAAAAAACTAACTTAATTTGTCTTAAAAGTCTTAGGACCTTTAAAATGTTCTAAGAGTGTTTGAAAATTTAAATATGCGTGTAAAAATGTCAAGTGCCTAAACTTGTCCTAAAACTATCTAAAATTGTCCTAAAACAGTCTTGGAACATCTAAAATGTTCAAAGATTGTTTAATAATATCCTCTTAAAACCTAAACATTTTATAAAGTGCCAATTGTTTTTAAACTATTTAAAATTGGCCTAAAACAACCTTCAAAATGTTTTTAAAAATATCCTAGAAGTTTAAAAATGTCATCAAGTGCCTAAAATTATTCTAAAACTATCTAAAATTGTCCTAAAACAGTCTTAGGATCTTTCTAAGAGTGTTTAAAAATATCCAAAAAATTTAAATATCATAAAACAGTCTTAGAACATTCAAAATGTTCTAAAAGTTTTTAAAAAAATTCTATAAATTTAAAAATATCATAAAGTGACTAAAACTAAACCAGTCTTAGAACCTTTAAAATGTTCTAAGCGTTTAAAAATATACATATATGTATAAAAATGTTAAAAAACTATCTGAATTTGCCTTAAAACAGTCTTATGATCTTTAAAATGTTCTAAGAGTGTTTGAAAGTTTAAATATGCGTTTTAAATGTCCTAGAAGTTTAATGTCATCATGCCTAAAATTGTCCTAAAACTATCTAAAATTGTCCTAAAACATCTAAAAGTCTTAGAACCTTCAAAATGCGTTTAAAAATACCCTAAAAATGGTTCAAGTGCCTAAAATTATTTTAAAACTCTAAAATTGTCCTAAAACAGTTTTAGGATCTTTAAAATGTTCTAAAAGTGTTTAAAAAGTTTAAATGTTATAAAGCAATCTTAGAACCTTCAAAATTTTCTAAAAGTGTTTAAAAATATTATGGAAATTTAAAAATGTCATAAAATGCCTAAAGATGTCTTAAAACTATCTGAAATTGTCCTAAATCAGTCTTATAACCTTTAAAATGTTTTAAGCGTTTAAAAATATACATATATGTATAAAAATCTTAAAAGTCTTAAGACCTTTAAAATGTTCTGGGTTGAAAGTTTAAATAGGCGTTTAAAAATATCCTAGAAGGTTAAAAATGTCAAGTGCCTATAATGGTCCTAAAACATTCTAGGAACATCTAAAATGTTCAAAGATTATGTAATAATATCCTCTTTAACCTACAAATGTCATAAAGTGTTCAACATTGTTCTAAACTATTCAAAATTACCCTAAAACAGCCTTAGAACCTTTTTTTTAATATCCTAGAACTTTTAAAATTGTTCTAAAACTATCTAAAATTGTCTTAAAACCGTCTTAGGATCTTTAAAATGTTATAAAAGTGTTTAAAAATATCCTAGAAATTTAAAAATGTCATGAAGTGCCTAAAATTGTTCTAAAACTATCTAAAATTGTCCTATAACAGTCTTAAAACGTTTAAAATGTTCTAAAAGTGTTTAAATTAATCCAAAAACCCCACTTACTATTCAGTGTAGCGATCCATGGACGTCTGGAAATCTCTGCGGTGCACCGCGCGCAGCAGCACGTGCACGGGGTCGTACTGCCTCTCCCAGACGCGCGCCTTCGGCACGTACATCCCCTGCTGCATGTTGCCGCTGGCCTCCAGCGCCGGCGCCCTGTAATCCGCCACCTCGGCCAGCAGAGCCTCGAAGTCCCGACTCTGCGACGAGTCCCCGCGTTCAGGCATCAGCTCCATCAGCTGCGAGTGCGTTTTGTCGCCCATGCACAGCAGCGTCACCATCTCCAGTCGGTTCAAAGCGGTGTCCGACAGGCCTGCGTTCGAAAAGAAAACGTCCTTACTTTTTACAAGTACGTATTTTTCGATAAACTCACCCAAGTTGGTTCTAACGCTGATCAAAGTCGCGAGGAAGGTTAAAAAACTTTCCAGCATTGGCGTGTCGTGTTCGCCTTCGAGATAGGAATTTTGCGCTTGAAAGGGAGCCAAGCTCATCCATTCTTTGATGTGAAACCTGTGAGGAAATATTTATGTACCACACATGCTGCATTTTTTTTATTCTGCAGCACGTTAACTTACTTATCTATCACGGTGTTGAGGAAACTGTCGGACGGTATTCTCGTGCAGCAAATTTGCAGCAAATACAAGTCGGCGTCGACCATGGAATTGCAAAAGTTGCACTGAATGTAAGTCATGGCTTGGCCTTTGATTTGCAATCCGTTTCGCACCCAAAGGCCGTTCAAAATTTCGTAGAAAGCAACCTTAAGAAACAAAGATGTAATGTTTAATATTAACAACCTGTGATTAAATATTTCGTATTATACCTGCACGCTAAGGGGGTGCATCATCAGTAAATTGAGCATTTCTGAAGATGGTAAAACTTCGTTGAGCGTTATGCCTTGGACTGCGACGGCTTGGCAAAGGAATACCGCAAGGTACCGATGTAAAGGCAAATGGAAAGACACTTTCAAACTATCACCCTGCATTGGAAATTAATAAACGTAAAAAATAGAAACATTTCTCAACTTAACCCATGTTACTAAGACAAGACTAGTACCATGAACCTAATTATACTAATACAGAACTCACGCCACAGAGAAAAAGGGAAAATTAAAATTAACTAATGCAATGGATAAGCGAGAAGAATAAAAAACGATGGCCATAGTTTCTTAATATCTCCAATATGTCCAAGTATATTGAACTTCTTAATAATATTCTTTAAAAATCTTATATATTTTTTTAATATTCTTGTAAATTTAATAACATTTATAAAGAAGCAACATTCATATTTCTTGAAAAAAAACAACAATTTTGATAAAGATATTAAAATTCTTTTTAATATTGTTGATTTTTTTTAGTTTTGTTTAAAATTTGCTACAAATCTTTTATTTTAATATTATTCTTGTAAATTTTAATAATTTTTCTTAAAAACAATATTTTTGACATGGTTTGTTAACATTTCTGATACGTCCACTAATTATATTGAAGATCTTAATAATATATTTTTAATCTCTTACATTTTTTTGATAATATTCTGGTAAATTTAATAATATTTCTGAAGAAGCAACATTTAATAATATATGATATTTTTATTAAAGATATTGAAATTCTTGTTTATATTGTAATTTTATTTAAAATTCTCTCAAAATCTCTTACATTTTTATAATATTTTTGGCCAGTTTTGTTAATATTTCTAATATGTATAATAATATTAAACTTCTTGAAAATATTAATATTCTTGTAAATTTAATAATATTTCTGAAGAATATTTTTGAAAAAACAACAGTTTTAAAAACCATTTATGATATTTTCACTAAAGATTTTGAAATTCTCGTTATTACGTATAATTAACCATATTTTAATCGAAAATTTTAAAGGTTTTTATTTTTTAAATGCGTTTTAGATCATAAAGCAGTTTTGCAGAAATATTTCACAATTTTTGTTATTAAAAATAAATATCTTTTTTTCTTTTTTGCTATATTATATAAGCATTATTACGTATAATTTATTAACTATATTTCAATCAAAAAACATAAAGGTTTTTAATTTTTAAATACGTTTTTAGATGTTCATAGAGCGCCAATTGCGGAAATAACCAAATAACTTTTTTATTGCAAAAAAATATCTAATTTTTTTATTTTTTACTTTGTTTAATTATTATAACGTATAATTAACTATATTTTAATCAAAAAACATATCGTTTTTTTAAATGCGTTTTAGATGGTCCTAGAGCATCAATTGAGGAAATAATTAAAAACTTTGCAAAGAAATATTTATTTTACTATTTTATACTGTGTTAAATAAGACTTAATAGGTATAACTCACTATATTTTAATAAAAAAAATAAAGGTCTTTATTTTTTAAATGCTTTTAAAGATGTTTGCGGAGAAACGATTGCGAAAATAATTCAATAACTTTTTTATTGTTTATTTATTCTTTAAGATATAAATAAACATAATTTGAATTTTAACATTAGTCCATTAATAATTCTTCCTCATCACTATTTAAAAATAGTTCTGTTAAAAAGAAACGCAGAAAGTACTCATTTTTAAAAATCATAAAATGCAATAGTCCAAGTTAAATTTGCTTTCGCTATATATCGCGGGTTGAATATTATATTGTTCTATCTGCAATTTTAGCGGAAAATTAAATTTTTACATGAAAATGAAGGTTTAACGAATATCTATCTATCTAAATAAGTATCACTGTTAAATATAGCCCAGAAATACTAAAAACGACATTATTATTTTGTTCTATGTGCGAAATTCAAATATAATTAACTATTATAATGTTCTAACAAACCAATCAATTAAATTGGCAGTTTAAGGAATTACGTCGTAGGTTTTTGGTGATTTAAGTGATTATTTTATTTAAAAATAAATGATTCCGTAAGTACAAAAATACAATATTATAATAAAATAGTAATAAAATACCCAAATAAAACTTATTACTTTTAAAATTTGTTTTTTTTTAAATAAATGCTTTATATAATTAAAATTGTCGTCTTTTGACATTTTCTTTTTTTTGTCATCTTTTATCAAATTTGAACGCAACGAAATATGTTCTCATTGTCTCTCAGCTCATCTTAACTTGATAACCTTAAAAAAAACAAAAAAAAATGTAAATAACACTCAGGGAGGCTTTGCCATCAGGGGTGTCTCTGACACCCCGCGCGACCTACTACGTTGCATAAAGAGGTGCGCCTGCATAAGGGTTAACTATATTTTAATCGAAAAACATATCGTTTTTTTAAATGCGTTTTAGATGGTCCTAGAGCATCAATTGAGCAAATAATTAAAAACTTTGCAAAGAAATATTTATTTTTCTATTTTATACTGTGTTAAATAAGACTTAATAGGTATAATTCACTATATTTTAATAAAAAAATAAAGGTCTTTATTTTTTAAATGCTTTTTAAGATGTTTGCGGAGAGACGATTGCGAAAATAATTCAATAACTTTTTTATTGTTTATTTATTCTTTAAGATATAAATAAACATAATTTGAATTTTAACATTAGTCCATTAATAATTCTTCTTTGTCACTATTTAAAAATAGTTCTGTTAAAATCTGAAAAGAAACGCAGAAAGTACTCATTTTTAAAAATCATAAAATGCAATAGTCCAAGTTAAATTTGCTTTCGCTATATAATATATTATGTAAAACATTATTACCTTATAAATGAGCGAATGTTTTACCTAATAGTTTTTACCTAATCATTTTTTATGAATTGGTAATATATATAGTATACTTTTTTAATAATATTTAAAAAAATTGAATACATGTTGAAATATTTATAATAATTAATAATTTTGTGTGTACTTATAAAGTAAGGTTTACTGAAAAACCTCATGTAGATATCAACGTGGAAATCGGGGTCAATGGTAGTTAAATATGAATTTTTTTCTCTTAATTTTACCAATGTGTCTTTAAAACGTTATAACTTTTAATTTTAATATTTTTTTTCAAATAGGAATTTTTATATAATATTATATAATAGTTTTTATATAATATATTATGTAGATTAAGGTGTACTTTAAACCTATTAAAAAAAAAAATTTTGTTCGATTAAAAGATATAGTTTAATAAATGTGTGCGTAATTTTTAGTCATTTTTAGTGTTTTAAAAACATTCTACTTTGGGGTGTCGTAAAATCAAAACATAATTATTTAAAATCTATTGCTTTAAGATGTTTTTAAAATTATCGTCATAAAAGTACCCATAACAAAAAGTTTTTAAACATGTTAAATATTGTAAGCGCTGTGGCGCAAGTTCTGTGTAACTGTAATTATTTGCGAAAGTTTAACAAAAAATATAAAACTTTTAGCTCACCAGAGTGGGGCTGGTGAAGTTGATGGCTTCGAGCCAGTCGCGCAGCTCGTTCAGGCAGGCGAACAGCACGCGTTTGGTCAAGGCGGCGCTGCCGGCGTCGTTGAGATGACTGACCAGCGCCCACATCGGGTAGGCGCTGGCCTCCAGCTCGGCGCTGAACGCTGCGTAGTACGTGTTCGTTTCGTATTCCACGTGCTGATGCAGCTCTCTCTGATTCACGTTCATGCCTGGCATGCGGGGAAGAGAATACTACATTAGCTCTGCTGTTAATGTGTGCTTTCTCCGCCGTATTGTATATACTATTTTTTTTTTCAAGCATTTAATAATTCTGCTTTAGCTCGTCATTATTTAAGGTCGTCTTTATTTTCGCTTGTTACTTGAACTTGTCATTATTTTGGCTTTATATTATTTTAGATTATCTTCATTTCAGCTTTTCGTCATTTTTTCTCGCCACCGTTTTAGCTCGTCATCATTTGAACTTGTCAATAATTAAGCTCGCACTTATTTAAGCTTGTCGTCATTTTTATTACCACCGTTTTAGCTTGTCCTTAATGAGATTGTTATTTAAGCTTGTCATTAGTCCAGTTTGTCGTTATTTTAGCAGGTCATTGATAAGCCTAATTAAAGACTTGCTTAAATAATAACAAGCCAAAACTTAAATATCAAAAAGCTTAAGTAATAAGGAGCTAAAATGGTGGCGAGAAAAAATGACAAACTAAAATGAAGATAAGCTAAAATATTGACAAGTTAGACTAAAGAAGACCTTAACTAAAAACAAGATTATATAACGACAAACCAAAATAATGACAAGCTAAAATGATGGCGAGGAAAAATGACAAGCTGAAAGTATAATAAACTAAAATAAAGGTAAGCTAAAATAAGGACAAGCCCAAGTAATAAGCTAAAATAAAGACGAGTTTAAATAATGGCAAGCTCAAATATCAAAATGCTTAATGCTCAATGGTGTCAAGAAAAAAAATACGACAAGCTGTAATAATGACAAGCTCAAATAATGACGAGCTAAAACAATGACAAGCTAAAATAGTTTCGAGAAAAAATGATGACAAACTAAATTAAAGACAAGCTAAAACGATACAAGCTGAAATACGACAAATAATGAGAAGCTAAAATAGTGACGACAAGCTGAAATGATAAACTAAAAATAAAGATGAGCTAAAATGAAGGGAAGCCAAAATAATGAGAAGCTCAAGTAACAAGCTAAAATAAAGACGACCTAAATAATGACAAGCTCAAATGACAATAAGCTTATTTTAGCAAGTCATTGTTTTAGCTCGTCTTTATTTGAGATTGTATTTAAGTTTGTCATTATTTTAGCTTGTCTTTATTTCATTTTGTCGTTGTTTTACTACTTCATTGTTTTAGTTTGTCATTATTTTATCTTGTCACTTGAGCTTCTTATTATTTTTTTGTAATTAAATTTGTCATACTTTCAGCTGGTCCTTTTTTTGCCACCATTCTAGCTTGTCGTCATTTTAGCTTGTTATTGTTTTAGCTCTTCATTATTGGAGATGGTCATTATTTTGGCTTGTTATTATTTAAGTTCGTCTTTACTTTAGTTTGTTACTTGAGGTTGTCATTATTTTAACTTATCTTCATTTTAGCTTGTGGTCATTTTTTCTTGCCACCATTTAAGCTTGTTATTGTTTCAGCAGTTGAGCTTCTCATTATTTTAGCTTACCTTTAATTAAGTTTGACATACTTTTAGCTTGCCCTCATTTTATCTTGTCGTATATAAGCTTGTCATTGTTTTAGCTTATCCTTATTTGAGATTGTTTTTATTTAAGCTTGTCAGTATTTCAGTTTGTCTTTATTTTAGCAGGTAATTGTTTAAACTTGTCATTACTTTAGCTCGTCTTTAATTTAGTTTTTCATAATCTTTTCTCGCCACCATTTTAGCTTGTCATTATTTGAGCTTGTTGTCATTTAAACCTGTCATTATTTTAGGTCGTCTTTATTTTACCTTGTCACTTGAACTTGTCATTATTTTAGTTTATCTTCATTTTATTTGTCATCATTTTAGCTTTTTGTCAGTTTTTCTCGCCACAATTTTAGCTTGTCATTATTTTGTCTTTTTATTATTTTAGTTTATCTTCATTTTAGATCGTCGTAATTTTTCTCACTACCGTTTTAGCTTGCCGTCATTTTATTTTGCCGTATTTTAGCTTGTCTTTATTTAAGATTGTTGTTATTTGAGCTTGTCATTGTTATAGTTTTTCATCATTTTAGCTTGTCTTTATTTTAGTTTTTTTATTATTTTAGCTCGTCTTTATTTAAGATTGTTGTTATTTGAGCTTGTCATTGTTATAGTTTGTCATCATTTTAGCTTGTCTTAATTTTTGTTTTTCATTAGTTTAGCTTGGTATAATTTTGTCGTTATTTTAGCTCGTCATTACTTAAGCAGGTCTTTATTTTAGTTTGTCATTATTTGAGGCATTATTTAGGCTTGTCTATATTTCATTTTGTCGTTATTTTACGTCATTGTTTTAGCTTGTCATTTTAGCGAGGAGTAATCCACTCAAAATTACCAAGGTTGTAAGGAAAAATCCTTATAAATAAGAGATTTTTTTTAGCGAAGCGTTTTTTTCAACTACTTTTGTGTTTTTTTTCTTAAGCCTTTAATACGTTTGCGATTTTTTAATTTTTAAAAATCGCATTTTAGCATGTCATGTATATTTAGTAGTGGTAGTAAATAGAACCAAAATACTATTCGATAAACACGTTTTTCTATTGTTTCGGCGACTTATTTCAATTCTGAAATATAAAAAAGTAACATTTTTTTATCTTACCTTGAAACATCGACAAAAACGTGAACCACATCTCCAACAGCGTGTCGTCCGACATGAACTTGATCGCAACCGGTCGGTGGGAAAGCACGTTTTTCAGATCCGACACCAGAGGCCAGTAGCAGTGCTCTTTCATCACCGACTTCCCGCAGTCCACCACGTAGTGAAAGTTTTTGTCTTGATCTACGAGGAAAATTAGAAAAAACACAATCGACGACAACGAGCATTTCTCACCGTGCAACACGTTCTGTATGAGTATCTTGCCCATCATGTACTTGAGGCTCACCACCATCACGTGCAGCAGGTTCAGCTGCTCGGTCATGCGCGTGGCCAGGCTCTCGTTCGAGAACAGCTGCACGCTGACGTGCACCACGCGGTTGCTGAGCGTGTCGGGGTCGCTCGACATCTCGAGCATCATCGAGATGCGCGAGTAGTGCAGCACGAAGGCGCGCGTCAAAGCGACCTGAAAGAATTGTATATTATGACTGACAAAATATAGAATGTTTAAGAATAAAATGATGATGAAGTGAAAAACTACTTGAGATAAAAATTTGTTGAAGAACGATTAAACGCACTCTCTCTTAGCTATAAATTCAGATTGTCTCATATCTTATTTCTATATTATAGACACGCCAAATTCCTAAATCCGAACCTGTAGCCGACTACATAGAAAAATAATATTGGGAATTAGCTTCCACACTTTTAGTATATTAATTAAATACAAATTAATAATATATTGTGAAAAGTTTTAATATAACTTAAAACTATTATTGAAATGTATTCTAAATTAAAAAAGTAATAAATTATTAACTTAATAATGACACGTGAAATATTAATTATTAATAATTTATTTTATAGTAATTACTATAATAGTATATTATGTATCAAGTTTTATAATAGTTATTTATGTATTAAGGGCATAATAAGGTTTTTATGATCCGAGGCGCTATTTCGAGCCCGAGCGCGTTAGCGCGAGGGCTAGAAAAGCGTCGTAGGACCATAAAAACCAGTTATGCCAGCAATGCATACAAAACTTTATGCACGATTAATATATTAATATTTTTAATATATTAATGTTTTTAAAGACGTTTACGTCAAAGAATTTTTGTTATAATTGTCATATTATAATGTCAACTGACATCAGTCAGTTTTAAAGTTGAATGAAAGATGAATGAAATTGAGGAAGCAGCTGAAAAGGCGAAAAATTGCGGCCTGCTGCCGGAAAAATCAAAATCTTTATACGAAAAAACTTACTTCGAATATATCAAATGGTGTAACATTGTTGTTTTTAATTTTTGACGTTTCATTATAGCCCGCTGGGTCATAATAACGCCCGCGGGCTATAAAAAGACGTTTACGTCAATGAATTTTTGTTATAATTGTCATATTATAATGTCATCGTGCATAAACGATATTTTAGTTACGAGTTTAATTAAGCAAGAGCGAAGCTTGCGAGCGAGTGTTTAAAAAAAACTAGTCTCTAAAGAAGTTTATAAACGAGTTACATACTATACTCTATCTACGACGAACACAAAACAAAATTTAAGGCGAATTTTATTTGTTAAAAATTTGACATCTGTCAACTGTCACCCGGATTTAAACCTCACATTTTCTAAATTTATAATATAGCTAACTTAAAAGGCACTGTTGCTAACTTCAGCTCGGGACTAAAATGCCATAAAACCACAGGTCGTCAATAGAGGAGTAGATAAAATAAAATATCAATAATTAATATTTAGGATTCATTACTTTTAAGTTAAAAAGTTAAAAGTTTTAACAATCAATACCTACGAAATATTAATGGTAAAATGTTTAGTAATGGTTATTTCACAGTTCGTATACTTTTACAAATAAAGTAATAAATACATAAGTTTTGGGTTTCATTAAGAATAGATTAAAAGCGAATGTTAGAAAAAAAAATATTGCAAGAAATTTAAGTCAGATAAGCCTTGAAAAATGTAAGTCGTTCTTTATTTTATACTTAAAATGTATTTTGTAAACGTTAAATCTGTCAATATTAATTATGTATCAAGTTTAGAGATGTAAAAAACGGTTTTTTCAGATGTGAAAAAAAACATGAAAAAACAGAAAAAAACGGATTTTTCTACTACCTTACTGGAAAACTTAATTTTCCACCCCCGAGCGAGGAAGGAAAATGCCTCCTTTCCTCCCCGGAAGGAAAAAAAAATTCCTCCCTCATTTTTTTTAAACAATTTTACATTAGCAAGAGTTTTTGTACCGTGTCTAGCACTATTTGATTTTGTAGGAAAAAGATTTACTCCGCGCTTGTCCAACCATTCTTTGAACAAACTATATTCATTTTCATATCGCTCTCATAAATTTGAAATTCTTCCTACGTTTTGAAAATGAGTTCTAGCGAAGAAAACTTCCGCAAGATCTTGCTAAAAAGGCAAGAATATTTGCAATTAATTTCCTTCCTTAAAAATCGAAAGAGCGATATGAAAATGAATAAAGTTTGTAAAAAGAATGGTTGGACAAGGGCGGAGTACATCTTTTTCTTACAAAATCAAATAGGGCTAGACAAGGTACAAAAAATCTTGCTAATGTAAAATTGTTAAAAAAAAAGAGGGAGGAAATTTTTTTTTCTCCCGGGGAGGAAAAGAGGCATTTTCTTCCCTCGCCCGGGGGTGGAATATTAAGTTTTCTAGTAAGGTAGTAGAAAAAAGCACTTTTTTCCTCCCATGCTATTTAAATAGCTATTTTTAGTTTGTTTTTTAAAGTATATTGTTTACCGAGCGTGGAATCAAATTACTCCCGATGATGAAAGTTTCCGAGCGAGCCGATAGGCAAGTGAGGAATTTATTGTCGAGCGATGCTAATTATTAATTAATTTTTAGAAAATAAAAAAAGTGCTTGTTCACAATGGACGTAACCATAAAAAAACATAAGAAATACATAAAAAAATACATAATACATAATACGTTTAATTAAAAACTGACGTTTACATTTCTAAAGTCGTTCCAATTAAGTAAGTACGCGTACCTAACTCAAGTTATTCAAGATAAACTCTATAAATGCTCACTTTTGCTTAAAATTACACAATTTGAGTACCCGCAAAAAAACTTGTGTCAAAATTATATAAATCTGACGTTTAATTTAATTCTGACGTTTACAATCAAAGTCAATCACACTGTATCGTCGTCATGGTAGCGGGAGAGAATGGAACATTTCGTTAAAATCTCAATATTTTGTGTGTTAATCAAAATTTATTCCTTGAAAGTAGACATAGAAGCAGTTTTTCACAGTTAAAGAGAAGAGAATGTTTTATGGGCACTGTTAATCTAGTTAACTGCACTACTACGGTGAAATAAAAAGGTCAGTACAAACGTTCATATAGGTAAGCTTTTCAAATATTGGCGCCAAGAAACTATTTAATACTTTTGTATTTTTTTATTGAGATAATTAAATATTTTTTACATTTAGTATTTTTTATGTCATGGAAACCTGTACGTTTTAAAGGTGGGAGTGGAAAAAGTAACATAAAATGTCGTTTTTTAATTATTAAACTAAATCGTTACCTTATAGTCCGGATCTGGGAGCATGTTGAGCAGCAGACAGACCACCTTCTGCGGAAACTCGAACTTTACGGTCCAGAAGACGAGCTCTTCCAGGAAGGTTTTGTGCACGAGCTGCTCTTGCAGCGACGGGCAGTCTTTGAAATCCTCTATCGGCTCGGGGTTCGGAAGCGATTTCAGCGCCTCCTCGTAGATGATGCGCGACTCGTTCAGGTACTGCGCGTACTCCGAATCCGGAAACTCCGGCACCTCGTTTAAAGTGCGGTACTTCTGTTGTGACAAGCAAGTTAAATGTCTCTCTTAAAACATGCGCAGTTTACTTAAACTAGTCGAAACGAAATAGGGCGCACTTTATTAAACCGGCATAACTTTTTAACAAAACTTAATATTTACTAAAAATTTGGCGAAATTCTAGAATATATACAGGGTGAGTCGGGAGATAAGTACAAAATTTCAAGAGTGTATTATGCGTATAAAAACAATGAATACAATTGTTTTAAACCTTGTTAGTATCCCGAAAACAAAACAAAAATCGGATAACAAAATTTAATTTTTTTTCCATTGTTTTTATGCGTAAAATACACCCTTGAAATATTTCTCTGGGTTTTAAATTAGATTTAAAAAAATTAATAAAAAAACTTCAATGAAAAAGTAAAAATATTTTGGGAAATTTGATCGAACCCGGCTTTGATGTTTTCTTCGTCATATGTCACCTGTTTTTTTTAAACTTGCATCCCAAAAACAACAAAAAATTTGATAACATTTAATTATTTTCATTGTTTTTATGCGTAGAAAGATTTTTTAATAAGTGCTTCCTAATTCGTAGTAGTTTATTTTTTGACAATGACAATATAATTTAGACAATATTCTGACAGTTAAAAAGCATGTCAAAATTTCTCAACTATAAAAACTTCGAATTTGGAATTTATCTGCTGTACATCTGCCTTTTCCTGGGTTTTATTTATTTGCTGGTGGACTGGTTGCAAAGAATTTAATTGGATTGGAAAAATACGACGAAATTCGAGGAAAATTCGACAAAAATAAATTGCATTAAAAGTGTACTTGTTCAGCTAATAAAAACTATTTTTAAGTTTTCCAAATTTAGTGCTGTGATGTAAGCTGATCAGAATTCCTTCCATAAACAATTTAACTTTAACTTTTATTAATTTGAACGAACAATTAATCGTTAAAACAATAAAACTTATTGCAATACGACGATTACCTATTAAATAATCATAATTAATTGCCATGAGCAATTTGATTAATACAAAAAAATTAAAAATCAGTTAAAAGTACGGGAAATAATGAATAAAATACAATCGAATTTACCTGCGGATTGGTTAGCGCCGAGGTCATGACTCTGCGCATCAGGCCGCCCATGTTGTTGAAGTCCAAAAGCATGGTTATGTACGATTCCGCGTCCTGTATGGCGTCTTTGTACGCGTCGGCGGAACTCTGCTTGCTGTTCTCGCGCAGGTGCTGTATGAGGCGCAGGATGACGCGCGGCATCATCGTTTCGGCCACGCACATCAGATCTGTGGGGGCCTTGCCCTTGCTGGCCGTCTTATTGGGCCCGTGGCGGTCGCAGAAACTACCAGAAAGCGTTCAAAATTTAAATTTACTTACTGCTTCGAGACCAGCAGCACTTTTTGTCAGACTGGCGTGTCCTACCATTTTTTAAGTTCATAGTACTGTAAGGCAAGCCATTTCACTTTTTAATCGTAAATGTTTTAAATGTAAAAGAAAATTGGAGTAGGGTTTTTAAAATTATGGAATAAACAGTTCATTTTTTTTTATTTGGACTAGTGTTTTTTTATTAAGTTGGTAGCTTATGCCAGTTTGATTAAGTATTTAAAAAATGGTACTTCTGTTGAAGACCTTTATTAAATACTCTGACATTGTCAAATTGACAGTAATATTTATTATTGATAATTTACTTAATTATTATATAACATCAATATTAAAAGATAACTATGCCAAAAATAATATCAGATTCTAAAGTAAAAGAACTTTTAAAGGCAAAACTTAATTTCGATCAAGTTATGCCAAATGCCTCAATGACAGAAAAAGTACATCGCCTTATGGACATTTATGTAGTAAAAAAGTAATGTTTTTGGTTTTACAAATATTAAATCACAAATTTTTTAAATTAAAAAAAAATAAGGGGGCAATAATAATACAAAAAATAAAAATTATTTGCTGTTAGGTTCAACCTTTTTGTGAAAAATCTAAATTATTTTTGTTTTTATTACGTTATTTAATGTTAGTTTTTTTTAAATTATTTTATAATTAAATTTAATTTTAATGTTTATTTAATCATGGCATTGTTTTCTCAATATGCGCATTAAATGCTTTTTATTTTTTTCATCGAAAACCGTTAGTCGTACGAAAAATGGTCAAGAAATCAAATTTGCCCTAAAATGAATGGGGATTTAAAAAATAATTTTTATTTTGAAAAATAGCAGTGGCGTACCCACATATTTTTCCAAAAATATCTAGACCACATCCTGTACGGACGCCACTGGTAAAAAAAAATCTTCTACATCAAAACTATCACCCTGTAACTCAAAAATTAAGAGGTTTAGGTCATAGGTTTATTTGAACTTTTTTTCTTAAAATCAACTAAGGATTCACACCCTTAAGGTTCAGCATCTTATTCTGAAACACCCTGTATATGTACATTTCTAATGGCCACTTGCACCGTACGTTTAACAGTGGTTTTATTTTTCATAACTGGCTTGCACCGTAATCCTTGTTTAAATACCTCTAAACTACTGTTAAAATAAACCCCCAATTTCGGTGTTTTAAATTACTTTAATCCACCGTTAACGATTTATAACCTCAAAAGTACTAGTCATCGGTATTCAAGATCTTTTTTTTTCCAAAGATATTATTTATTGACATCTTTAGCAAATCCAATAACTATAGTTATAGGTATAGATGTCAGCAACTCTATAATGAGTCACTACTAAGAACCAGAAATATAATAGAAAGAGTATTTGGAATTTGGAAAAGAAGGTTTCCAGTGTTGGCATATGGTTTGGTCCATTATTCCAGCTGCAGCTGTACTACATAATATTGCTAGACATGAATAAACCAGAGCCGCCATTGCCTGATGATATTAATGCCATGAACTGGAGTACCCTGCTGTTACTCATCCACAAGATCGCATTAGGTTTCAAAATCAATTAAAACAAGATTTTTTTTTTATAATATTTAATGTGAATAATATTTTTGATGTTTTATTTAATTTATACTTATTTAAAATTAAAATAAAATAAATAGTCATTTCTTGTTTATTATTATAATACATATATTAAGTTTTTCTTCTAAAATTTTTAAATCCGAAAGTCATTTATTTTACATCCTTTTTATTGTTAATTTCCTGCTCTAATTGTTTTAGCCCTATCTGTCTCTTTGCTTTCATTGATACCCTTGTATCCACAAGATTAATTAAATGATTTTTTTCATTTTCTGAAAAAATTGAGGAGCGCCCCCTTTTTTCAGGATCTGTATCCATATTATTCTCTTTTACCATTAACTGAATCGGTCTTACATGAAATAGAATCGAACCACAGATGATAAAGAATCGAACCACAAATTATAAAGAATCGAACTCTTAACGTCAAAATATACCGTACCTTCATTTGCAAGCTAACCATAGGGAAAATACATTGTAACTGGACCAGATAAGTCTTAGTCAGCACGAAGCGAAAAACGTTGTAGAAATGATTTGGACGCGTGGACGAGTAGGCTGGCATGCGCCGTAACAGTTGACCCTGCTTCATACATCGATGCTTTATTATTGTTTTGTATTTTGTGCGATGTACATCTGGTAAACAATTAAAAATAAAATAGATTTTTAAAATGAATCACTATACTGTAGAGGATATGATTTATTGGGTAATTTGGTGAAATTCTTTTAGGGAAACGAGAGATTTTTTCTCTGTGAAATACCCGGATCGCCCAATTCCTTGTACCAAAACTATTTCCTCTACTTATGAAAATTTTAAATCAAAAGGCTGCTTTTTACCATGTAAATGCCATAATGTTCCCAGGATTAATGACAACGCTGAATTGCAGGAAATAATGGTTTGTGCAATGGTACAACAAGATTACACCGTTTCGGTTGCCAAACTTTCTGAAGACACCGGAGTTAGTGTGGGCAAAGTTCATAAAATATTAAAAAAAAAAAAATTAAATCCTACAAATACCAGGTTCATCAGGAAGTTTATGATGATGACAAGTACCGCAGAATGGAATTCTGTGAAACCGTGATGGAAATGGCAAACGAGGATCCGAACTTTACAAAAAATATTGTTTTTACGGATGAATCCACATTTCCACTTCATGGAAAACACAATCCGTCCATTCTGCGTTACTGGGCCATTGAAAATTAGTACCGGCAGTTAAACTTGCGTACTCAGAACCCAGAAAAACTGAATGTTTGGGCTGGTATTTTTGGCGATAACATTGTAGGACCATTTATTATTAATGGCAATTTAATTTTTTGAATCTTACTTGCACTTATTGCAGAACCAAATTATTCCTGCATTGCGTGTCATTAATCCAAACCTAGACAATGTATGGTTTCAGCAGGATGGATGTCCAGCCCATATCTACAACAAATATTCCCCAACAAAATTTTTTCAACACGAGGCACAATTCGGTGGCCGGCGAGGTCACCTGATTTGGCCCCGAATGACTTTTTTTTGTGGGGCTATATTAAGTCTATGATTTATGGACATGAGCATCAGAGGGCTAATGACCTAAATCAGCTTCAAATTAAAAGACCAATTTCAGGCCATTACTACTCTTATGCTAGCAAACGTCCGGCGGGAATTTTATGATAGGTTGGGATATTGTTTGGCACAAGGGGGAGGTACTTTTGAAAACCGTCTCTAGTTTTGTTAGAGTTTCTTTTTAAGTTTTTTATTTAGGATTTCTTTTTTATTTTTAAATATTTTTTCAGAGTATACTTTTATTTAATACAAAACATAACAAAATCATACATTTCATATGATTATGAGTCAGTTTTTTAAACTTCTGATAATTTTAATAAAAATCAATTTGATTTCTTTTACACAGGTCGTATTAAAAGAAACAAATTTTAATAGTTAGCAGAAAAATAAAAAACTGGTTCTAATGGATAAAAATATAATTTACGTAAGGAATTCATTCGAGCATAGTTGTACATCAATGCTTACAGCGCAAGTGGCATAGCCACACTGACTCCACCCTGGCGATTAAATTTGTTTTAGTACGCATGTCTCGCTTTGTTTTGACTGCGACTTATCTGGTCCAGTTACAATGTATTTTCCCTATGGTTAGCTTGCAAATGAAGGTATTTGCGTCACAAATAAGTGTGAAGTTAGTTATTAGCACCAATCTTTTCCATTTTTTAGTCAAATTCCCTAAATTTTAAACCATAGCAAAAAAATCACCGTGCAAGATTTTGGACACTAATCTCCTGTTACTTTTTAACTTGTCAGTTTATTTAACAGATCAGTTAGAGAAAACGGTGCAAGTGGCCATAACTAGTTTAGTTTGTTTTAATCAATGCAACCAATTTTGGTTCCGTACTTACCAACCAAACCCCTAAATTTGCAACGTTGCCGCAGTCCAGGTAAAAAAATGAACTAGGTATAATTTTATAATTTTAATTATGTCTAAACTAATGATAATTAAATAATAGTATATTCTGTAACAAGTTTGGAATACAGCATATTCCGCTCGAGTGAAGAGTTTGTCACACGAGCCGAAGGCGAGTTTGACGGTTTCACGAGAGCGGAATATGCAATTCCAAACGTGTTTCAGACTATACTTTTTCTACGTTTCCAAAAAATACCATAGAAAAATAATTTAATTGGAAGAAAGTGAGGTTGGATCGGTTTAAAATTTGTTAGATAATAAAAACAGAGATGTCGCCACAAGTGTTTATTCTGTCATCGGATGATAGAATATTTCATTCTGTAACACTTCATGGAATATATGTCATTCCATAGATAAAAGCAGTGTTGTAACAGTTACAATATTTTCAGTATCTAGCTACAGTTACAGTTACTTACCAAAATTTGTAACTAGATACAGATACAGATACATATTTTATTGCAGTAACTAGTTACAGATACAGTTACCTTTAAAAAGTATCTAGATACTTTAAGACACATACAAATTATTTTTTGCTTTAAAAAATTTAAAATAGAAATAAAAAAATTCTTATTTTTATATAGATATAATACTCATTTTTGTAACAAGATTCTTTAAATTTAAATTGTAAACAAACTTTAACTGTACTACCAAGGTTTTTAAAACCTTTTATAACAGTTTAGTATATTTCTTTACTCAACGGAAGTAAATTCGTTAAATAATAATAATAATATCAGTATGACCATATATTATATGGACATGCGTTCAGAAATTAAAATTTGTGTCAGAAGTGGAAGTGGACGTGTTTTCCTTGTCTCAATAAATATTATTAAATTTATTAAATTATTATTTATTAAATAATAGTCGCAGTTTAATTAAAAATGTATCTTTGTATCTTAACACACCTAGTTACTTAGAATTTGTATAACTAGTTACAGTTATAGTTACTAGATTGTGATAAGTAACTAGTTACACAAACAGATACATAAAAAGTATCTAGATACTGTATCTAGTTACTTGTAACTAGATACATTACAACACTGGATAAAAGTAATATTAGAACGGTCAAATTCCGTAATAGGAGTAGAAAAAACTATATCAAGCATAAATTTAATGAAAACAAATAGGGAAAAAAGCGATTTATTATTATGTCTAGGCGTAATAATAATTATTTAAAATTAAGTCTTAAGGCAGGGTTAAAAAAAATCATGATTTCTTATGTGTGGACATAAAATTAATTATATAATTTTATCTGTACACATAAAATTAATTCTAAAATTTTTATTATATGGTCATAATTTTAATTACAAAATAAAAATTCAGTGCATTAATAATTAATTGTATCATTTTTTATTAGAATAAAAATTATGCGTAAACATAAAATTAATTATTTATTTTTTAATTGTATAAGAAATATTAAGTTAAATATTAATGTCCTAAAAATATTGCACACAAATTAAATTAAATAAATAATTCAACATCTTATATAAACATATTTAAAAAAGAATAACTTCTTCGACATGTACATATAATTCTAATTAATGTATTATTTTTCAGTGCAATTTATTTTTTAAAATATTAACATTTAACTTAATATATTGTCCGATTAAAAAGTGAAACGGCGTGCCGTACTACCGTGAGAATTTTCTTCGAATATTCTAGGAAGTTTCACTTTGAAGAAAGTCGTTTTACCCCCTAAAACTTTGACTTTGGACTCACCCGGTTTCCTTCATGACAGAGGTGTCGCCACAATCGCACGCTCCGCCGGCCTGGCTGAGAAACATGTTGAAGTCGTGCCTCTGGTGGTTACCCTTCTTGAAGCAGTCCGTGCACAGGGACATGCAAGGGGAGATGCCGCAAGTGCGACATCTGTAAGCGACGAAATTCGGCGTCCAAACTAGACCGCAGGTGGTGGCGTTGTCATAGGCTCTCACTGAAAAATATTTCAAAAACTATTTTAGCTCAAAACTTAAATTTGGCGTGATTTTAACCAAAGATATTATCTTTGATTTTAACCAAGGAAAATTTAAATAATCCACCAAAAATAATAGTAATTTATGTTTTAAAAACCTATTGAGTTTTAAAATTTCACTTGTAAAAATGTTAGTGGGATTTGTTTATGTTTGACATTCTTACTCGAGTGGCCGAAAGGTTTAAAAAAAGAATTAGGGAAGAAGGGCAGAAAGGTTTTGATCGTAATACGATATACCTGTATAAAGTTTATGAGAATTATATGTACACTAGGGTGTCCCTTATTTTTTATTTTTTTACGCATACCCTCTAATTATATTTATTACGTGTTTATATACTCCCAGTAAAAATTTCAGCTCATTCTATAAACGGGAACCCGTGCCGACTTGCATCTGAACCCTCCGTGAGCCAACGTTAGGGGCGCGGTATTTTGTAACACGGTTGGTCGCGAGGTCTTCGATCGTAAGTCATTTTGTGTTTGTTATTATGTGACCCTTATATTATAAATTATTGACAAATCGTCACCTGAGAATTATAGTGTTCTATCTACATTTTCTTTTTTTTATTCAGGTTAGTCTTGTTTTAAGTCTTAAAGATGATATTGATCTATCTATATATAATTGGGGTAGAAATTGTAAAGTTTAAGGCTTAAACTGTACAATTTCTACCCCAATTATATATAGATAGAACAATATGCATCTTTAATACTTAAAACAATACTAACTTGAATAAAAAAAAGAAAATGCAGATAGAACACTATAATTCTCAGGTGACGAAATGTTAAAATATAGTTTTATTTATGTGTATACTTTGATAAAAATGTATATTTTCACAGGGAGTGGCTAGTTACCCGGAAGAGTCTAGTGAATATGCCGTAAACTCTGAAATTGATAAACTTAATGGGATTTACTCTAAATAACTAAAAGAGTCTATTGTGAGAGATGACTACCGAAAACTGTCTGAAATATTTTTGGGAGGACATCAAGAAAAGAAATGCTTATAAAAAGCTGAAATTTCATATAACAGTATATTTTAGCAATACTAATTAGTATATTAATATATTTAAGGGATAAAATCAACTAATTTTTTTTTGGTTATTTTTTAGCTGTCATTCAGATATAATAAAAAAAAAGAGTTTCGGGTAATTAGTTTTACAGCCTATTCACCCGACATATTCATTTTTATTAAAGTATACACATAAATAAAACTATATTTTAACATTTTTTAATAATTTATAATATAAGGGTCACATAATAACAAACACAAAATGACTTACGATCGAAGACCTAGCGGCCAACCGTGTTACAAAATACCGCGCGCCTAACGTTGGCTAATGGAGGGTTCAGATGCAAGTCGGCACGGGTTCCCGTTTATAGAATGAGCTGAAATTTTTACTGGGAGTATATAAACACGTAATAAATATAATTAGAGGGTATGCGTAAAAAAATAAAAAATAAGGGACACCCTAATGTACACTTTTATAAATTGTAATTTTTGTTAGTAATGATAAACAACTACCTGTTTTGGGTTTTGTTAATATATTTTTGCTTATAATTTTAAACATCATTATTTAATTCGCATCTTGTTCTATATCGTGTATCATTGCTAGTTCATTGGGTTCTAGTCATTCAAATATATCGATGACTTTCTGCCAAAGTATCGCAAGCAACATAACTTAAATTTCGGGAATTGAAAACATTTTTTGTTTTAAAGTCTGTTTTAAACCATACGTATATAACCTATAGGTTTTATAACAAGTAAATAGCTTATAATTATAGCTATTTACTTGTTATAAAACCAATTATTAATATTATTATATATATTATATGGTTTAAAACAGACTTTAAAACAAAAAATGTTTTCAATTCCCGAAATTTAAGTTATGTTGCTTGCGATACTTTGGCAAAAAGTCATCGATATGTAGCGAGTGGTTGTTGGTAATATTTATATTGTCTTACTATTTCTCTGTTTGGGATACATATTTTGGTGCCGTGACCTATGTGACCTACACTAAGTTACATTTATCTTAAATTTTAATATTTTGTATTGTCTTTATTTTGAGTTGTTTTGCAAACAACATGTTTTTTCCTTTTTATTAAGGTATTTAAGGTATTTGTGTTACTGTACTCAGGCTAAAGCTTTTTACAATTATATTATTATTATAATATTGGTATTACCAGGGTAAGGTTTATAAAATGCTATTATTATTATTAAATTTGATATTACCATCAGGTAGCCTTTTGATAGATTCTGGATCTAGACTTAGATTTAAACTGCTTATCTAAGCGCTTTATTTTGAATAATTGATAACTTTACTATATATAATTAAAATCTCTTTATATTGTTATCCAGCGTGACACTTTTTGGTGGTTAGAGTTTTGGCCATGTTTAGATGTTTCCGAGGATGTTTCTTGTTATGACGCTCTCCTATTTACCATTTATTGCATTTTACACCATTTTATTTTATTGCATATTGTTGATTTTATTTGTATCTGTATTTGTGTTTTTATTTGGACAGTGCTTAAATTTTTCTGTGTAAATCAAAATTTATCCCTTGAAAATAGAGAAATAAGAGGGTCAGTACAAACGTTCATATAATATTTTCAATTAGCGTCAAGAAATTATTTAATCCTTGATAATAAAATAATTATTACATTTAGTATTATTTTACAAGAAAGGCACTTTTTAACGATAATATGACATTTGACAACTGTCAACTAACTTAAAACTAACTTCAGCCCGTGACTAAAAACCTGTTGCTAACTTCAGCCCGTGACTAAATCGCCATAAAGCCACAGCTTGTCAATGTGTATTTAAAAGGTCAATTTGTGTCATGTAAAGGTAGGAGAAGAAAAATTTTTTATAACACATTGCAGTTTGAATCATTAAATTTTTATTTGTTTTTGAATTATTTTTATGATACAAAATTATTAGGTACATCGAATGTTTTTATCCTTTACTAAATTATGTGTTTATTTTCCACAAATAATTGCATAATATTTAATTAATTATTCGATATAATATTAATTAATTCCGAGTAACGAATTAATTGTAAAAAAATATTACGATTATTACCTACATTAGTTTTAATATTAATAAATAAATTATTTAAATTTATCAGTAGGTAATTTAAAACGAATAAAATTTGCATACGACAAATATTTTGCGAAGACGAGCATGTATTCGTTATTTGTTTTAGGCATTCTTTTGAGGTCAAAAATTTGAATAAAATTGATTAGCAGATAATTTAAATAAAAATTAGATAATCTAATGGAACATGGTAAACATTTTTTCCGTCTTAATCGAATACAACGCGTTTTAATTTAAACTAATATTTTTTTAAAGTTATTATAAACATATATTTTCATACAGGAAACCAATTAATTAGTAAATTAATTCATTTAATCTATTTAATAAAAACATATTCTTCTTCTAAATGTTGTCTATTATCTCTGTGTACTCTTCCTATGAAATAAAGAACACATTTACGATAGGTACAACTGTCGAAAATCCATCATTATCATGCCGAACACAAAAAAGGTTAGCGACCTTGCGATCACTACACCCAAACAAAATAAAAGCCGGCCGATAGGTGGAATCGTTACTAGGCCCAGGGAACCCAAAGACAAAAAAAACGTTGCCAAACGTATGTACAACATACCGAATACTAAATATTTATTTATATCTCTATCACTCATTTACAATGACTTCAGATCTATCTATAGTTAGAATGTCATTTTTTAACACTTTTATAAAACTGTAAAAAGGTAAAAAGGGTTGTAGGTACAGGGTGATCCCCCATAATGTCGCCCCCCTTTAACTTTTTTATTTTAAGTGTCCGAAAAAATTTCAAATTGTGGTTATGTAGGTACTAAAAAATACTTTTTTTCTACGTATAAAGAAAATTGGAAAATTGATCAGTATACAGGGAAAACAAAAAGTTTATTTTTTTTCAATGGATCACCCTATATATGTATTTATTTTTTAATTCCTTGTAAAATTCTAAGCATATTTCATATAACATACCATATACCTAAATTCGACTGAAATATTTAAATTATTTTTAAGATAATAAGTTGAAATAGTTTGTCTTTCTCTGTCTGAGTAGGCCATTTTTAATTATTTAACAAGACATATTGACATAATGTCACTTTAATAATTTATTTTCAATAAAAATTTTGGTATACTGAGGCTTCTTGATTTCTAACAGTTTAAAAAAACATTTAATGATAACATTTCGAATGCGAATATTTCAGAAACAGTTGAATTTAGGATATGGTTTGTTATATGAATTATGCTAAGAATTTTACAAGGAATCGAAAAATAAATTCATATATAGGGTGATCCATTGAAAAAAAATAAACTTTTTGTTTTTCCCTGTATATTGATCAATTTTTAATTTTTTTTATACGTAGAAAAAAAGTATTTTTTAGTACCTACCTACATAACCACAATTTGAAATTTTTTCGGACACTTAAAATAAAAAAGTTAAAGGGGGGCGACATTATAGGGGATCACCCTGTACCTATATAATTGAATCGGTGAGAATAAGAACAGTACAAGTCCAAACATTTAATTTTGACAAATTTAAAATATATTTTTGTGACATTAGGTACTTAAATCATTTTCTCGATTTTTATGTAAGAATGTCATATTCTCGCACGCAAAATCGTTGAAGAATGAAGCTCATTCTTAAACGATTTTTGGTAACATTTAGTTTTTAAGTATTGGTACCCCCAAAATGTCAAACTGATTAATAACCTCAAATTCATTACTTTTATTGAAAATGAAGCCTTTATTATTGTTTTGTAATATAAAGTTTGCTCCAACAATGCATTTTAATGCAAAATTTTAAGTTTAATGTGTAAAAGTGCAGTTCAGGTTGTACTTGTGCAGGATAACAAATATTGTCATTTTGTGTTGCCAACTGACATTTTGCGAGAAAAATCCCCTAACTAACAA